ACTTGTCACATGTTTTAAGGACAATCGGTGTGGTGGCCTCAGGTGGGACTCAAGAGGTAAGGGACCTGGATTTACTAGAACCAATTGACTCCCTCCCTTGTCTTTGTGATATCTTCCCACTTGGAAAATAGAAACAATAGGTCCTTTTTGAGATACCTTCCATGGCCTTCCATAGCCTTTAAAAATGAATAAAAGGAACATAGCTAATATCTTGAGGTGTTTACTGAGTGGTAATTATTTTACGCGTGCGCGCGCGCACACACACACACACACACCCCTTCATCTATTCTAGGCGGCCACCCTGTGAAGAGAAGAGGGTGCTATTACCCACTCTGTGCTAAAATAAAAAACAGGTTTGAGAAGCTCCATCTAACTCAAGGCCCCAGTCCTAGTTCAGTGGTCTGTCTGATTCTCCTGGCAACCACACAGTTGAGGAGAACCTAAGCTGAGCAACTGGTGTATCTGGCACCCATGGGCTGTGGATCTTGCCACACTCAGCCCTTGGTGGCTGTGCCGGGACTGAGGTAGCCAGAGTACTCAACTGGTGGCTTCAGGGTCTAGATAGCTCCATTTTGGGTTCCAGATACCTTCCATAGTCCCTGTTGTTCCGGAAATATTATTCTCTCTGTAAGTCATCCCAGGAGAAATATTAGGGCACTCCAAACTACACCATTTTTTTCTCCTCAGCCTTGACTCATGGAGGCTTCACCCGCCCAGTTGCTAGGAACTGAAAGTAAATTGCCTGCAGGGCTGTTGTCCTCAGGCCTTTTAACCTCAGCAGGATGGCCTTTAATTATAGATACCAGATTTGTTCGTCTTGTTGGATTTTACCCTGGCATGTCCTGGGCCATGAATCCATAGACCAGCACATCTGTGACTCGGGGCTTGGTCCTCATGGCAAGGGGTGGCCAGCAGCTTTGTCATTCTCCAGCACCAAGCCCAGGATTTGCTTTCAGACTTTTCTGTGTCTGATGACAGGGTCCCTGGGCTCCCCTTTATGGACTTCCCTTTATTGTGGCTCCCCCATACATGGAAAGAGTTTATTAATTTTGAATAAAAGTTGGGGGGGGGGAGAGCTGAGGACCCCCAGGGGCAGTGTTTGTTTGAAATCTGTCAGTTGAGGTTTTGATATGATCCAAACAAATAATAGTGTTCACGGAACAGGGGTCTTGTCACTCAACTCTCTGAAACCCACCCCAAGTCTGTAATTCACCTTTGTGCACTCTCTACTTAAACTCCTGATGACTGAGCCAGAGAAGGCTTATTAGTTATCATTTCAAGAGTCTCCAATGACACATCCCAGTGGTGTTAATTCCACTTGGATCCTGAGGTACACAGGGCCCGAGATAGCTTTTGCCTCTTTGCTGACATTTGACGCTTGTTGAAGGAAGTGATGGTCATGCCAGTGGCTCAGGGCTGATATTCCTAGGCCAAGCGTGGTCAAATTTCATAACTGTTCTCAGTTCGGGCAGTAACTGGCCCCTTTCCAAAACCCAGCTAACTTCAGCTCTTTGCTGGAAAGATAAAGAACATCAGAAAAGCCACTGAGCTATGGGAGTGAACTATTAAGTGATCAAGATTATTATTATTATGAAGCTCCAGCTAGACACGCTTCTGTCGCCTTTATAGACCCTCAGCAGCCTGGGATGGTGTGCCCTGGTGCTGTCCTAGATGATGTGCTGAGCTGGCTGATGGTGCAGCAGAGCACATGGGGCTTATAAACTGCAGACCTGGTGCCCCGAGTAGGACCTGGGAATCAGTATTTTCCAATATGCGCCCTAGCTCGGGAAGCCCATTCCTAGGACTGCCTCACATGGATTTGCTGTTACTTTAAAGCAGTAGATTGCAACAGTCCTCAGTTACAGTTGTTTCTAAAAAAATCCAACTTTCTGGCCATTTCCCATAATTTTTTGATGCAGGTGACCTCTCTATCATACTGATAAAATCCAGCGCCCTATGTCCCACCCTTTACATATTCGTTGAACCAATATTGGACAGCTGTCTATCATGGGCTACAGCCCAGGCTTTTTAGCTTAGTAAGAAGAGCAAAAGACATATGACTACATGACTAAAGGAGGCTGGCCTAGTCAGGAGACAATTGAACAATAACCCAGCCATTGTAGAACAATAGAATGGAACTAAATTGCAATAGGAGAGAGAGGAATTTGCTGGAAAACCAGTAACACAGCCTAGGGAAGGATCCTTAACTGAAGGCTTGATAGGGGAGGGGATGGTTGGGTGTGAGGTGGACATGATGTGGCAGAGAGAAGGTTCTTGCAAAGGTTTGTGGCCAGAGAACCTGGTGTATGACAGGAACTGCTTGTCTCTTCATTTGTGTCTGTATAAAATCAGAGGCAACACATGATAGACATGAGGGTGCCTGCACTGATGGGGGCCAGGCTCTGAGGGATCGTACATGGTGTGTGGTGGGAGTTTGTATCTGACTTCATTAACTCATCTTCCTTGCCACATATGTAGGTTTTTTAGCCTCATTGATCTGTGTCTTTTTAAAATCCTCTCCCTTGACGATATGGCATGATGAAATTTCTTGTTCTCACGCAATACCTTGGAAGCAGGAGAAACTCAGGACATTTGCTGTATCCCACACAGAACTCTAGCTTTAAATCTCATATAAGTTCACACACTTTTAATTCTTGACTCAGCATCAGCCTGTTTGTCAAATTTCTTCTTTATGAAACCTTTGTCCTCTTTGCAAGCCAGCACCTCAGTCTTCAGCCTCATATCATGCACTTTCCCCCTCAAGTATCCCTAAGCTCCCTTCAGATTTTCAAAGAACCAACATTTATCCTACCTCAATGCTTCTGCACACATGGCCCTCTGCCTCCAGGCCTTCTCCATGCCCACTACTTTAAAGGCCCTTTTTAGCCTCTATTTCAAGAAGTAACACTCCCCTAAATTCTGTGTCATTTAATAAAATTTTACATTGTTTTGTTAATTATTTCTTTACTGTCAGACTCCCCCTCTAAGTGCCATAAAAACAATGACTTGGTGTGATTCTTCATAACTATACTCTCCATGTACTTAATAATAAATCTTAAATAATTATTTGCTGAGAGCCTCCCTGGTGGCTTAGGGGTTGTCTCAGTGCTATCAATACTACAGCCTGAGTTTGATCCTCAGTCAGGGGGCTAACCCCCATATGGCACAGTAGACTTTCTCATGTCTCGACTGCTCTCCTCAGCAGTGCATTTCAGTAGATCCGCCTGCTCTGCTCCCCACTCTGTCTTTGGTGAATCCTCTCACACACACACACCCCCACCTCTGGCCTACCTCCCAGTTCTACGTAATAGATAAATAAATCTTTAAAAAAAAATATTTGCTAAGTGAATGAGGATGAATGAAGGATGGATGGACAAATGGTTGAATGGATGGATAGTGAATTCTGTAAGTTGAATTCTTTTTTTTTTAAAGATTGATTGATTGATTGATTGATTTATACAAGCACTGGGTACAGTCAGAAGTGCGGGAGGGTGAGAGAATTCACCAGAGCCAGAGTGGGGAACAGAACAGGCAGATGGACCGAAGTACACTGCCAAGGGGAACAGCAGCATTAGGAGAGGTCTGTGTGCCATGTGGGACCCTTTCTGGTGGCTGGTGATCGAACCAGCTCTGCAGAGGCTGCAGGCAGCTTCCCAGCCCAGCGCTCAACTGCTACGCCACCAGGGGAGGCCCTGTAAGTTGAATTCTTAACAAAATTCTGCCTACTGTTCCTTATTCATGCTGCAACTCCATTCAACCTGGCTCCTGAGGATTTTCCTCTCCTCTGTGAAGCCAGTATGAATGCAGCCTCAGGGCCATTCACTTAATGAAATATGTGATTGCTGAAGCTGACATTGATTTGTTGCTTTGCTAATTGATATTTAAAATATATATTTATTTTTTAAATAACATTGGAGTGAATGTGTATCACTTCCAGTAGTTTCACTTATCCAAACTTTATCTCAGTTGCAATTTTAAAAAGACTTTTCTCATAAGAGAAGCACTTTTTTTTAGAAGCACTTTTTCAATAAGAAAATCAATAAATACATTTCAGAAGATGTGAGAAATACTGAGTGTAGCAGAGCAAATAGAAATCTTGCATGATTTCTCTACCATGCGCAAAACATACTCTTTTGTCTGTTTTTTCCATATAGTTGCTTTCTCATACATAACACAATCTTGTGCATTTGTGCACACATGTAGAAAGAGCCTAAATTTATTTATTTTAAAGATTTATTTTAATTTATTTATGCATATAAGAACTGGGGTAGGTCAGAGGTGTGGGGAATGAGAGGATTCCCCAGAGACAAAGTGGGGAGCAGAACAGGAGGATCTACTGAAATACACTGCTGAGGGGAGCAGTGGCGAAACAGGAGAGGTCTGCTGTGCCATGTGGGTCAGTTCTCTGGCCGGGGATCGAAATCAGGCCTCAGCTGTCATAGTGTGGTAGGCTAAGACTTAACTTCTACATCACCAAGGAGGTCCCAAGAGCCTAAATTTTAAACATAACATGACCTCATATCACCATAAAGACTCTGAAAGGCATTTTGCATTGTATGCTTGGGGCATTATATGTCCCAAGGTCATTTTTGAGAGTCACCATTGAATACCAGCTAGGGTGCTGGGCACTGAGGTGTAATTATGTTACCCTGCTTTAAATGTTTAGTACTTACTAAGCCGAAAAGGTAATATACAGAATATATCACTCAAATAACTATGCTCTGAGTGGCTAGATAGGTTGTAGATGCAAGAACTGAAACTCTACCATAATTTGAATTGGGGGCAAACATAAGAACAAGTCTTTATTTTAGACCTTCAGTCAGGATTGCCAGCAGTTACAGTCAGTTCACATGTTGAGTGCATCAGGCATCAGGGACAGAGATATTTTCAGTAATCTGCTCCCGCGAAACCTCTAGAACACAATGAATTGGGAGGATCTTGGCTGACCCTGCTTTGGTGGAGTCCCTGCTATGAGAGTGACCCATGTTCTTCTCTTCTAGAGTGACCGCCTTCTGATCAAGGGCGGCAGAATCGTCAACGATGACCAGTCCTTTTATGCTGATATTTACATGGAAGATGGCCTGATAAAGTATGTATATAGACCGTTACCTTCTGGTGCTTTCTCTTCATTAGAGGTTCAGAAAGGAGCTTTTACCTTTTGCCGCTAGATGGATGGTTCTATGTTTCATTTCTCCTTCTTCTGAAAAATGAGTCTTTGTTTTTTTTTTTTCCCAAACCCCCCGCCCCAGTCTTTGTTTTAGCACCTCAGTCTGGATGCACATAATCCCTCAAAAGTGAGAGCTTGCCTTAGCCCGCTGGGATGATACGAACCAAGTGAAAAATCTGAATTCAATCAGCTGAGATGCAAGGGCCCTTGTGTGTGTCAGCTGCATTGAGGGGCCGTCTCCATGTCTTATGAAGTGGGAGATGTAACTCCTGTCATGAAGGTTTACTGAAAAATGTGCACAAATTATAGCATCCTAAAAATATAAGGTCTTGTGTACTAGATACCAGAGGAGGTCAACTGAGGATAATTTAGAAGAGCAGAAAGGGAGAAGTCCCTTCAGAGGAAGTTATGGGGTGGAGAGGGCATTTAAATTGAATGTCCACTTAGGCAGGACTCAGCTAGGCAGAGAAGAGATAGGGCACACATTTCAGGCAAGAATTTCCAGTAGATGCTATAGGGATATGTAATTACTTTATGAAACAGTTCATTATTGGCAGCCTGCAAGCAGTAGCCAGGTAACTTTATGTTCCTATATAATGACCTTTAAAGAGATCAATGTATACACAGCCTTTCATCTTGTAGAGTACAGTAACACCCCACTGATAAGACATTATATAAAACTGATATCCCCAAGCCATCCTCTTTGCCATTCCTTGCCTCTTTCAGACTTATTTTTGTTATTCAGCCTTATTGGCTAGTTTGAGATTCTGGTTATAGGAAACCTCATACTTATCTCTGAAAACTGGGCTTAGTGTAGGTAGACATTCCAAACTCATTCCCAAATCCAGGCTAGTTTCCCCTTCTATGGGGAAACCTATGCTCATAACAGTCAGCAATTCTGATGCTGTCAAGCCGCCTTGGAAGCAAGGACATATTGCGATCATTTCCATATCCCCTTTACTTAGCAAATAGAGACTTTTATAAGATCTCCCTTTAATGAGTATGAAGTATGTGTAAGGCACTATGTTAAATGTTTTATATGCCTTATATTATTTGACCTGCCAGCAATCCTATGAAGTAAGTACTATTATTGCTCTCCTTTTAAAGATAAGGGGAACAGAGAGAGTAAATAACTTGATAAGAGCATCATATTAATCAAATACATCCAATGAATATTTGAGTAAATAAATGCACCCATGCAAGAATGAAGATAATCATGTTTCATTATTTAATATATGGTGATTATATATTACAATATATTAATACATATTAATATAATATACGTATTATATTATATAGTATATTAATATATTATAATATTATTCATTATGCAAATATGATCACTTTACATAAATGCTTTTAATATCAGAAATAGAAGAAGTGGAAATGCTAGCAAGGCCATCAGTATGTTTCCTCAAAGTAAAGCCACAATGGATTTTTCTATAACTAAAAAAGTATTGTATATAATTGGCTCTCTTTGGTGATGGCAAGTTCCCTCGTTTTGACAGATTTAGGATTCCCTCACGTGGAAAGATAGAAAAAACTAGGTACATGTTGCTTCTTCCTTGTTTCAGAATTGGTGACAGGCATCGCTAATCAATCACAGAACTTCTTGCAGCTGAGCCTTAACTACAGTCTCAGAATCTGTCTTCACACACTGATTCAGAGCTGAGTATATAAGGCGAATCCTTTTTGCCATTTTTATTAACATAGGATGGAAGGCCATTTGCCAAGGATGTTAGAGAAGGAATTGACCCATTAGATGTGCTTGTGGTGGAGAGAAGATTGGAGGAACATGATCTTCATCCAGAGCTGAAAATTTAGATATCTCCCACAATAGTCTTAACTCACACAGCATAAAAGCAAATTATTTCCTCCAATTGCTGCTTGCCTGGGAATATTTCTGGAGTGCCTGCTATGTACACAGCAGTTGTCTCATGCACTGGACACAAGATGTAGCTAATGTCACTGGGACCCAGGTCCTCATGTTCTTCCCCCAGGGACCTTTCAGTCTTTTAGGGGAGACTGAGATATCTGCACAAAATGCAGAAGACATACTTTACTATATAATATCACTCTCAAGTGCAAAATTGGTAGAACAGGTGAGACTCAGGAAGGAGAGGGAGTAGGGTGGCTATTAATTATTAAAACTATTATTTATTAATTCTTATCTGTTTAACAGTGTTCAGTGGGCTTAGTACATAATAATATTAACATTTACCTGTGCAGTAATGTATAGAAGAGGCACTTTCATTATATTACAGATGAAAGAATGGAGATATGGTGAAATGATGTGGCCAAACTTAAAAAGCTGGTAACTGACAGAACCAGAATCCTGTTTGCAAATTTAGGTTGTCTCACCCTGAACAGAGACCCACTCGCAATGACTAGATCTGGCTATCAGTCTTCCAGGAGTAATGTGACCTTGACTGGTTCAAGTGGAGAAAAGGAGGAGGCATGTCTGTGTCAGACTTGGTGTTGTATTGTCAACATAGGTACACACACACACACACACACACACACACACACACACACAGGCCAGGCAATTCATCAAGCCTTTGGTTCTCAGTTTTCCTCAGAGGAAAATCAGTGGGAGAGAAAAATGGGAACATGGCGGACCAGCCTCTGCACTAGCTTGGGCTTACAATCAGAGGATGCATTTGTTTTCCAGGGTGTTTTGAATTGTGGTGGTTCTGGAATGGCCCAGTGGGGATGTGGTTACATCAAACTCTTAGAGATGTCAAGAATACTTTATTTTAGTAGCAGAACTTCAATTTTGGTAGCCAGTGGTAACTCCCTGTTGCCCCAAGAGAGTATCTTTCTTCGCTGGCTGTGAACACATGCCACTGGTAGTGGGGTACATGCATCCCCAAGGGAAGAGCCATAGTGTATAGATTTGTCCTTCTACCTGGAACTTATATTGGACAGGTGTCCTGGTAATTTAAATCAAGGATATGAAATCACATTTTTAAAAAATATTTATTTATTTTTACAAGAACTGGGGTACAGGCCAGAGGTACAGGAGGGTGAAAGGATTCACCAGAGACAGAGTGAGAACAGATCAGGCAGATGGACCGAAAACACTGCTGAGGGGAGCACCTGGCGAGATAGGAGAGGTCTGCCTCGCCATGTGGGACTATCCCTGGCCTGCTGGGATCGAACCCGCGCTGCAGAGGCTGCGACAGCTTCACAATGCTGTGCTCAACCTGCTGCGCCACCTGGGAGGCCTAAAATCACATTTAGACCAAGGAATATCGGATGATATATGCTTTGTGCCTTGTGCCATGAGCAGTTTTATTTGTCACTTTCCTTGTGAGGTGTGCCTCTGGTGTACTCGTTGACTGCCCGCCTAGCTGAGTCTCCCCCTCTCTTCCTCCCTGGGATGCTTTGAAGCTTCCTGGGTGAAGCTGTGTTTTGCTTGGCTCAAAGCTCCTGCTGAGAAGCTGACAACACAAAAGCAGCAGGTTCCTGGGGTGCCTGCACCCTTGGCTTCCTTCTGGCAAATCTTCAGCTGTGAGAAGGGTAGAACTGCCAGTGAAGACTGAGGTGCACAATAACTCAGGCCAACCCCTTTGTTAGGGGTACAGATGAATCCATGTAAATGATACAGCAAAGTTTACGGCCTCGTAAGTCATTCGTTACCACCTCCAATCTCCCCTAACAGCTTTCTGTGTTTTACACCCTTTCAATCCTCCTCCAAATGTTGCTCCTCACCTGTAACTTAAATAAGGAACAAAATGAAGGGGATAATAATCTTACTTATTTTTTCAAAACTATTTGTTCCACACCCTTTGTTCTAGACACCGTCAAAACCACTGAGGTTGGGCCTCCCCTGGTGGCGCAGGTGGTTGGGCGCAGCGCTGTGAAGCTGTCCACAGCATCTGCAGTGCCGGTTCGATCCCCGCTGGCCACGGAGATGGCCACATGGCATGCAGACCTCTCCTGTCTCGCCCGCTGCTCCCCTCAGCAGTGTATTTCGTCAGTCTGCCTGTTCTGTTCCCCACTCTGTCTCTGGTGAATCCTCTCACTCTCCCACACCTCTGGCCTATACCCCAGTTCTTGTATAAATAAAATAAAAATCCTTTAAAAAAAAAACAAACTACTGAGGTTAAGTATTAAGCCAGGACCCATGGAACTGTCAAATGGCACACCAGATTGTCTTGCATCTATGAAATTATTTTTGTGTATAAATTCATAACCTTTGTTTCTAGATTGTTAAGCTCATGAGTCACTTGCAAAGACGACTTAGATAAATCTGAGTCCCTACGTTTCAAATCTTTCCATTGCCATGTTTATCTTGGAAGTTGCTCTTTTAAATTGCCAGTCATCTCACTGTCTCCCCAGGCAAATTGGAGACAATCTGATTGTCCCAGGAGGAGTGAAGACCATCGAGGCCAATGGGAAGATGGTGATCCCTGGTGGCATTGATGTACACACGCACTTCCAGATGCCGTACAAGGGAATGACCACGGTGGATGACTTCTTCCAGGGGACCAAGGCTGCCCTGGCGGGGGGCACCACCATGATCAGTAAGCCCCCCAAGTCGATACACTCCTGGTCTCAGGAAGCAAGTGTTTTAACGTGTTAGCCACTGCTCTCTGGCGTCACGTGAATTCTTCCTCAGTTCATGGCCTTTCTGCCTGAGGGAACCAGAGAGGTGGCTGCCTTCTCCTGTCTGCCTTCGGGCAGCAGGGCCTCACCCCGCTGTGGCTGGGGAGTCAGAGTTAGCATGCTGGGCCAGTGGCTGGGGCCAGTGCCTGGGGAAAGTGGACTTAAAAAAAGTTTGTGGTTTGTGGGCATAATGTTCTTTCAGAAATTCCCCTTGGGTCTGAGGCAGGAAGGAGCCGAGGGGGCAGGCAGAGCTATGTGGCTGGGGCTGAGGAGCATCCCAAAGAGAATGATCATGGAGTTCTTGGGGAATTAGTGGGCTTCAGAGGCATTTAATATTGGCTGGTCTGTGCTGTTTTTTTGACCAATTCATATCTTTAAGATTAGGTATCCTGTGGAAGTGGTTTTCAAGTTGTTTTTTTTTTCCTGGTAACTATTGCAATTCCAAAAACACAACAAAACAAAACAAACAAACAAACAAAAAACACCCAGGAAGTGGCATGCTCTTGGATTAATGAACAAATGCTATTCCAGAGCTGTCTGTCCTGTCCCAAAGGAATCTGGATGAATTGGGTCCAGTCCAGCCCTGGCCCCAAACTTGGTCAGCAAGAGCAATGTTTATTTCCACCCAAGAACACAGAACAGCCTGAGCCACAGAATTATTCTCTGTCTTGCTTTCTTTTGACAGGAACACTAGCCAGATTCAGCTTTAGCTAGCTGGTTGTAGAAACCCAGGAAAATTGCAGCAAGGCGATAAAAAGCACAATTCAGGGAGACCAAAGCCTTTCTCCAGCAAAGGGGTAGAAGCCAGTTCATGTTTCACAGCTGCCTGCTCACAGGCCCTGGTGTGGCCCAGCCCCGGGTCAGGTAGCTCCGGAGTTTGCCTTCCGATGAGAGCGCTTGGGCTGCCTGGATGGGAGCTGAGGGCACACGTGGCCTGGTGTGGCTTTCTGTGGTCGGGGTGAGGAACTGGAGATGTTCAGCCTCCTGGAGCGTTGTATTGTGCTTGGTATCTGCATTAGGGGAGCAACAGGAGGTAAGCCAGAATTTAAGGTGACAAGAGAGAAAGGGCATGTACTTTGTGAATAAATTTGAAACCCTCAATACATAAAAAGCAAAGAACACCCATTGTAAGTCCCACATCACTTACCATGAGGTTGAATTTTTTTCCTACTTAGCAAAAGTAGGATTAGATTAGATATACTGTGCTTTAGCCCATGTCTTCCCTAAATAATGTCATGAAGGTCTCCATTCATTGAGTTTTATTCCAATAGAACATCTAAAATGGAGGTAAGAATCATGAAAAGTATCATGATTTATCTGTTTAACCAAATTTCCTTATTGCTCAAGATTTGAGTCATTTCCATTTTTCATGTATATCACTGTAGAAATATACAGAAGCCAAGTTTCTGCACAAGCCATGTTTATTTATTTAGGAATAATTGTTAAGCTCAGGGAAAACTGTTAAGTTATGGGAAGTGTCATTTTTTTTAAAAAAAATTTTTTTATGAAAATTACCCTTTATTTTTTAAAAAGATTTATTTATTTATATAAGAACTGAGGTACAGGCCAGAAGCACGGGAGGGTGAGAGGATTCACCAGAGACAGAGCAGGGAACAGAAGAGGCAGATGGACCGAAGTGGGCGAGACAGGAGAGGTCTGCCGCGCCATGTGGGTCTCGGGCCGGCCGGGAATCAAACCAGCGTGCAGAGGCTGCAGACAGCTTCACAGCTCTGTGCTCAACCCACTGTGCCCAACCCGCTGCGCCACTGGGGAGGCCCCTAAAAATTTTTTTTTAAAGATTTATTTATTTATACAAGAACCAGGGTACAGGCCAGATAGGCGGGAGGATGAGAGGATTCACCAGAGACAGAGTGGGGAACAGAACAGGCAGACTGACGAAATACACTACTGAGGGGAGCAGCGGGCGAGACAGGAGAGGTCTGCTGCGCCATGTGGGATTTTCCCCGGCCATCCGGGAATTGAACCGGTGCTGCAGAGGCTGCAGACGGCTTCATAGCGCTGTGCTCAACCACCTGCGCCATCAAGGAAGGCCCTAAAAAATTTTTTGAAGTAACTTTGGTATATAATATTAGATAGGTTTCAGATGTAAAACATTATAAATCAACATCTGTATATATGACATTGTGTTCATTAAAAGTCTACTTCCATCCTTTACTGTTTACTAAAATTAACCCCTTTTGCACAATTTACTTATCTCCCCTCCCCTTTCCCTCCTGGGAAGCACTAATTTGTTCTGATCATCCAAAGGCTAATTTTTGCTTTATTTACTTTATTTATTTTGGTTTATGAAAAAGTCATGGTTTTTAATACCGATTTCAAAACTGTTCTTAGGAAAGTTGTTTCAATTCACACTTCTTTAGCTGCCCACGGGATTTGTATGTTTTTTTTTTGCCTTGCTGTCACCAATTACAAATGCTATTTTGAAAAATACTATCCACAATAGCAGTTACTGCAAGAGCAGTTTTGGGCCTCAAAGAATCCAGATTCTTGACAAACAGTTCATCTGGAAATAAGCTCTGTATGCCTCACGTCATTTTCACTTACCTGACACCAACTCCTTCAGGGGCACTAGTGCAAGGACGTCACTTGAGCTCTGGCTTTGAAGTGTCTCCTCCCGCCCTTAGAAGAGAGTCTGGCTTTTATCATGGTGCTGACTCCCCACGGTTCTGGGCCTATGGCATGTAGTAGGCACTCCTTGAAGCTAACATGAATTGAGCACTCACTATGTTCCAGGCTCATGCAGCATGTTATACACATTTCCTGTTTAATCTTACAACAAACCCGACACCCCACTCCACTTGGCACCCATTTTGGGGTTGAGAAAACTGAGGTTTAAAGAAGTGAGTAATCGACCCCAAATCACATAGCTAGGTGACAATTTAGTCATTAGCAACCGTGAAACTACCAGGGAACACCCTCTAAGGTTATTTCCATGCCCAGGAAACAGACTGTGCGATCACAGCTAAGTCAGCGGGAGCGGCCTGTGCTGAGGGGACCAGACTACTCAGGGGGTCACCGTCTGGGACTGTCTTTCAGTTGACCACGTGGTGCCCGAGCCTGAGTCAAGCCTGACGGAGGCCTTTGAGAAGTGGCGGGAGTGGGCGGACGGGAAGAGCTGCTGCGACTACACCCTGCATGTGGACATCACCCACTGGAACGACAGCGTCAAGCAGGAAGTGCAGAGCCTCATCAAGGACAAAGGTGGGCCTGTCCTGTCCTCCCCCACCCCGTGTCCTTCTCACGCCTTCCTTGCTGGGAGCTGGGAACAAGAGCCTGGGTACTGGGCAGAGGGTACCTCCGAGTTCGGGCGCTGCCGACTCCTGACAGGATACCGTGGGATAGGGAGTGTCACCCTCACTCTGCCGATGGGGACTAGGAATCAGTAGCCTCAGACCCCAGAGCCAGGAGGTAGTGACGCTGTCCAAGTAGCAACTACCCATTTCACGGAGGAAGAAAGTAAGGTTCGAAGACCTGAACATCTCATCTAAGGTCACACGGTATTCTGACATTAGAGGCATTGTGACCAATGTGAGGTCAGGCATTTTTGTAGTTGTTGTTTTTAAAGATTTTTTATTTATTTATGCATATAAGTACTGGGGTGTGGACCACAGTGCGGGGGGTGGTGAGAGGATTCACCAGAGACAAAGCGAGGAAGCCAAACAGGCAGACAAACCGAAGTACTCTGCTGAGGGGAGCAGCGGGCAGGACAGGAGAGGTCTACTGTGCCATGTGGGTAGCTCCCTGGCCAGGGATGGAACTCGTGTTGCAGTGGCTGCCGATAGCATGATAGCCCTAAGACTTAACCCCTGCACCACCAAGGAGGCCCAAGTTAGGCATTTTTATACTTTATCATTTTTACTCCAAAAATCAAACCATCACTAGACTATAATAATGTCATCCACAGAAAGTCTAGACATTTCCAGGAGCAACGATTTGTTCATGCTCAGACTATTTGCCGAAGGCATAAAATGTGTGTGTGCACAATTCAGATTTCTGTTGTCCCCTGAAATTCTTCTCTACTTTCTTTCTTTGATTTGATGCGCAGATATTTCACACACATGCGCCGCCCGGGGTGTGCACACAGACCTGCACTCTGTCCACCAGAACTCAGGGACTATCAGGAGTGGCCCTTGCCCAGTATTTCAGGGTAAAGATGAAAGGTCAGCCCGGGGAGTGGCAGCAGGAGAGATGCCATGGGAAGCTGAGCCTTTGTCAGGAGAGTAATCTAGAAGAAAAGGCCCAGAGTTCCATGGAAACAATGGGTGTCCTTGGGTGAAGGAGAGAGGACCTCCCGGGAGATGAGTTTTCCTTCCCCTCCCTCCCCCTGCCCCACCCCTAGCTCTGCTCAGTTCCTCCTGATACAAGAATTGAGATTGACCCCCTCTTTCACACCGGGCATTCAACTGGGGAGCCAGTTGAACGACTTGAACACCCATTTCCCTTCCAAAGGGCCCCGGTTGATCCACAAGGACACAGCGGCTTGTGGGTAGGGTTGGGTTGGGGCAACAGCCCAGAGTCCAATACTGTGGGTCAGCGAGCTCTCAGGTTACCACTGTCCTTTGGCCCAGACAGTGCAGGCTGAGATATGCTAATGATTAGAGGCCAAATGATCCTTTCTGCAAAAAGACTCTGTTTCCTGCCATTTCTGATCCCCCGCCATTTCTGTAAATTACCAATGGTTTATTTGGAGTGAGAAATTAAATGTCACTTTCCTTTGAACATTTATGATTTGATATTTAAGTGCAAGGTGAAGCTTCGCTTCTGTCCCTTAGCCCTGCTACTCTCCTAAGACGAAGTCTACAGCTCGGTTCTCCCAAATCTACCCCCTGCACAGGCCAGTGTGGAAGCAGGAGATCATTCAGTAGTGACATCACTGATCCCAGCAGATCCACCGCAGGGACCAGCTGTATGCCAGGCCTGGTGCTAAGAGCTCTGTAGGTGTAACCACACTACCTAGCCTGGAGGGAGTTTTTATTTTCCCATTTTGCAGACGAGGAGATGAAGGCTCAAGAGGTTAGGTGTTGCAGGTTCTCTGAACTAGCCACACAGCAGTCCCCAGTGTAACAGTGATTCCGATGATATGATGATATATATGCATTGTCTTGAGCTATCCTGATCCAGGTGCTGAAGTACGGGTGGGGCAGAGGCAAGAAAAAAGCCCAGAGGAGGCTCTTGCATCACTTAGGAAGTGTTGATTTTATCAGGTACAGGAGGAAATAGAAAAATGCTTTTAGAGAGTGGAAAGCAGCCCTTTGTGTTGGTGGGGACCCTGTAATGCACTTGGGCCCCGTGGTGATGGAAGTGGGCGCAGAGGGTGGGTGTTGCCTGTAGTAATGTCTTTTCTGCTGTTTCCCCCTTCCCTCTCTTGCAGGGGTTAACTCCTTCATGGTTTACATGGCCTATAAGGATTTGTATCAAGTGTCCAACACAGAGGTAATACCCCATTGCTGTGTGGTTTGGAGGATCTGGATGGGGTTCCTATGGTTGCTGATGACCTTGGCTCTTTCGGTGTGAGTCACTGTGGTTGATGTGGGAGACCGCTGGGCCAGAATGTTTCTTGAAGCCTTCCAGTCCACACTGCATTTTAAATAAGGTTACAGGCAGGGAGCCCATGGCCAGGCAGACAGAATTTCCTCTGACAGAAGCTCTCTCAAAGGACAAGGTCAAGAAGAAGGGCTTGCCTAAATCTATCTACCAAACTCCACACCCGCCACGAACTCAGTGAAAGTGTAAGATGGTGAGCCTTGAAGGATTAAGGGGGACCCTCTGCTATTGGGGGTAATCATTGTGGCTTGCCTCTGTCCTCTCCCTAAGAAATCTGTGGAATGTGATTCTTTTAGAAAAATCTTAAGTCTCAGAGGGAATACAGTGATTCTCATCCTTCCTGGTTAGGAGGTGTGGGGAGGCCTACCTTCAGGAGTGAAGATATAGGAGTTTGAGCTCTTGCATGAGCGTCTGGCCAGGCTGTCCTGGCTACCAGGAGCACGTGTTGAGAAGGATTCTGAAGCTCCATCTCAGGCCAGTAGGAAAAAATTCATATGAAGTATGGGTTGGAGGCAGAGAAGAGGTCAGAGACACAAAGTTTCTTTACCTAGTTTCCTAGAGTTCCTTTTCACTAGCACACCCCTGAGGTACTGTGTATTTCAGTTTCTGTCACCTCCGTCCTCTGGTTCATCCCATTCATTTTAACTCTGATCTAGTAATGGGCCCTTGTTCAAGGTTGCCAAAGGCCGCAGTGGCTGGTGAAGGTGACAAAGACTCGTTTCTTTTCCAGCTCTATGAGATCTTCACTTGTTTGGGGGAACTGGGAGCCATCGCCCAAGTTCACGCTGAGAATGGGGATATCATTGCCCAGGTAAGACCCAGAAGATCCCTGGAGTGTGCCTTCTGCTCGGGCGTGGTCTGCATCCTGTCTGTGTCCTTGCTTCTTCAGTGGTGCTGGAGCTCAGTACGTACATGGCATCATCACAAGTACTCTGCTAACCCCAGAGCCTGCCCCAAGAACCTCACATTCTAGAAGGAGGAATAAGGGGAATTTAGCAGGCAAGGAGGCATGTGGAATGTGCTGGGGAAGAGGCGTCCTGGAAGAGGAAGCTTCAAATTGGGCCATTTAGTAGGAGAGCTTTGCTGATTTGGAATTGAATTCAAGGTGGCATTTCTCAGAAGCCAGATGCCCTAGCTAGGACTGTGGAATGCTTGGCCTTCGATGATCAAGGAATCGGGTTTTGTGTGGATAAGACTCCCCCCCCCCCCCCGGCTTCCTAGAAATCATATTGAGAAATCTGAGGAAAGAGTGATGAAAGCGAGGCCCCAAGGCCCAAAAGGATCATTTGTAAGGAAGCAGAAAGCACTTTTCTCCATCTCCAGGGCTGCTTAATGGACGCGATGTGCAGATGTGTCTAACCAGGGTTTTGTTTATCTCAGAAACATTCAGGATCGGCCTTCGCTGGGAGGAGGCAGCCAGAGAAAGGGTGTGAGCTCTCTTAGCGCACTCGATAACATTAATGGCAAGAAACCATTATTCATTCTTTCCAAGAGCGTTTCCCGAACATTTTGCACCAAGTGCTAAGCTATTAGGCGAGCCAAAGCAGACACATTCTATAGCTCACAAGCACTTGGTGGTGTCTTCATTTTAGAAGTTGTCCAGGACTTGGTGAACGTGGTCAGCAGGGGTGGGGAGACGCTGTTTAGGTGATCCTCATCTCCTTTTCGGACAAGTCTTATTTGGTGTAAGCCTGCTCCTGTGTGCCAGGCACTGGTAAGTGTTCTCGCATATTCTCACCCTTCAACAAACCCTTTAAAGATGGCACCACCACCCCCACTTTTAGAGATGAGAATATTGAGGCTCAGAGGGATGTGGTCATCAACCCAAGGATCAGGGTATAATTGAGAGAACTGAGTCTTTGCCCCAAAGGTCATGTACTTGATGGGTGTCTTTGCTCAGAGATGGTGCATCCAGGGGGTCCCTGGCTCCTCCAGTCCAGCTTCAGGGTGCCTTCAGGCCAACACCCCAGCAGTGCAGGGCTTCAGGATTGGGATTTCACACCCAATATTGTCTTACTGGTGGAGGTTTATGAGCCACATGTGAGCTGTCATCCTCCCCTTTCTCCAGGTTTTTCATGCAGCTCTAGAGGCCCCAGCCCTCCCTCCAGATCCCCTTGGAACTCAACCCACTGCATATTCCTTTTAGGTCCTGTGGGGGCAAATGGGCTCCAATGCAAAGCCCCCCCTCCTTTTTTGGTCTCTGTTTTGTAATCAGTATATTGCAGACACAGTTATACATTTCAAGAGTTACTTAAATTCTCATGTCCAGATTTAAACTTGTGAAGTGACTTCTAGATGTTCACTTAAAGCTATACATCATATTTTTTTAAAGATTTATTTATTATGCATACAAGATCTGGAGCATAGGCCAAAGGTACGGGGGGTGAGAGGATTCACCATCTCTGGGGAACAGAACAGGCAGACTGACCGAAATACACTGCTGAGGGGAGCAAGCAGGCGAGTCAGGTGAGGTCTGCTGCACCATGTGGGCTTCTCCCTGGCCAGGGATTGAACCCATGCTGCAGTGGCTGCGGTTAGCCTCATAGGTTTCGTCTCAACCCCTTGTGCCACCAGGGAGGCTCTATACAGCATAATTTGCTCTACTACCAACATTAAATTGCAGTTATTCTGGAGCATAAGTTAAATGATTTAAGGTAAACCTGTAACATCCCTAAAAAAAAAAAAACACCCACCTATCTCATACATGCAAATTACTTCTCCATGTAAAGGTCTTGACATCTAGCTTCTAAATTACTTCTAAATTACTCCTGTTCCAGAAGTTACTAATCAGGGTCCACGGAGAAGGAGAAACAAAAATGTAACCAGGGCTAATAGTCATATGTGTGAAAAGGGACAGAGATGAAATGGTGCAGTAGAAGGGAATGCAGTCCTACCTGTGTAAACCATCTTGATAAACCCCTTCTTTACAAAGGTATCTTTTCTTTCACTGATACCATGGGCTTAATTATATTTCTTGCCATCACATAACAGCTGCAACAGTATAAATGCAGAGGGATTACAGTGAATGCCACTTCCTACAACCAACACTTGCTTAAAAATTAAATTCTTTGTCTTTCTTGACTGCCAGTTAAATAGAGTTTTTGCTTTCACGCATATACAAATAGCTTTTCAGCCTAAGCTATTCTTCTAGCTGAAATCAGTTACAGGTGTGGTCTAACAGATGTTAGGACAATTCTTTAAGTAGTTGTTATAAGTATTAAACTTTATCTTGAACACCAAATTCATCATATGTACAGGGCAAAGTCAGAGTTTGTATATTTGAGTTTATTCTTCATTTAATTTGAAAATACTACTGTAGTTGGATATTGACACAAAACCATCCTAAAGAGTGAGCGTATTGATTGTAGTCCTTTACTCATTCACTACTGCATAGAAAGTGCTAGCAAGGAGTATGATTCACTGGTCCCATTAAGAAGACTGACACGAGATCCCCTCCCCCCCAGAATGATGATCAATGATGGTCATCATCCCCCTAAGCTTCTCTATTGTAATATTGTCATCTTTCCTGATTTGGATCAAAGTCCCCCAGTTCTACGTGGTCCGTTTCATATCAGTCTATTACTTCTACTGCCTACTCTCAAGGAAGAAGTTTTTCCAGCAAGGAGAGTTTATCAGGAGAGAGAAAGCCATTCTTAGGACAGTTCACCTTGAATGCAGTAATTAGGCTACCCTACCAGTTTCATATGGTCTATGATCAATTGTCATGCCAACATGATGACCAGACTGACGTGGATGCGAGGTGATCAAGAGTAATACTGGCTTTCAAAAGACAACACTGTTTCAATCAATTCTATGTCCATACACATGAAAAGGTCTTCTTGCCTGCTAAAAACAGCATGGGCTTTTGCTCTAACATGGAGATAACATCTCCTGGCTCCAGCCCTGATTCCTGGTCTCCTTCACCATGGAATGTTACCTTCTGGCCATCTTTCATGCCTTTGACAATATGAACTTCTAGAATCTTCTTCTCTTGAACTCTCTTCCTTCCATTGCAGCTTTTATATCAATCTCTAGGACGTCCCCCCCACCTTCCGCCCCTGCCCCCATGGCACTGGCATTGTATGCGCACGTGCTGGGCCTTCCAGGTCCCATCAGGTAGGATGAATTCTTATCCGTGTTCCAGCACCACTGCAGCTCCTTTCACCCCACCTCAGCTTTCACATTGCTGACAAATCACATTCTTTTGCAGAATAGCTGTCTTGTCACACCTTTCTATAAATCTTCTAAGGTTCCTGAGAATTATTGCACAGCATTTTTACCTCTCCTTTCTCTCTGCATCCTTTTCCCTTCTCCAGAAAAGATATCAAAGATGTCCACAGGGGATCTGGATTTTTCACCTGCTCCCTTTCTTTAATGGCCTGTTCACCTTCTCTGTCATATACACTGCTTCTTTTCTTTCTTTTTTAAGATTTATTTTATTTATGCATACAAGAGCTGGGGTGCAGGCCAGAGAGGCGGGGGGTGATGGTGAGATGATTCATTAGAGTGGGGAGCAGAACAGGCAGATCTACTTTAATACACTGCTGAAGGGAACAGTGTGTGAAACAGGAGAGGTCTGCTGTGCCATGTGGGTAGCTCCCTGGCAGAGACTTGAATTCATGCTGCAGTGGCTGCAGAGAGCTTCATAGTGCTGTGTCTTAACCCCTTAAGCCACCAAGGAGGCCGCTCCCCACTTTTTTTTTGCTGCAGAGACCTCTTCATAAGGTTGAGAAATCTGTTTAAACGTCTCTCCTTCCTTTCGGATTCTTATCAGGGTGCTGCTTCCAGGCCAGCTTCCTGTAAGCCTTTTGCAGTTCTTCCTGGGTAGTATTGGGTTTGACCCCCAAGGCATCATATTAGGTGGTTTCTTTGACCATTTTCTACAGCTGGTGAGCAGGAAGGAGCCCCAATCAAGGCAGCACTACTCTTTTACCTCCCACCAAGCATTCTGGGGCTTCTTTAAAGCTCCTTGGGCCAACTTCCTCTTCTTCTTTGTAGCTCCTTCAAATAGAAGTTTCTCTGGGTCTTCTCCCCATTTTCCCTCCCCCCATCCCGCCTTGCTTTCCTTACCTTAGGAAGGTCTGTTCTCAGTCAAGAAAAGGATAGGGGCATTTTCTGTTTGGATGAATTTCTCGTGTGTGCTTATTAAAGACACCTTGAGCAGAAAGATTTTATCATGTTGTCTAAATGGAAGCAACTGCTGTGCTCTGAGGTTCTTGCTGCACTTTATGCAGAAGGAATGGAGAACAAGAAGACCTCTTTTCCTATGGGGAATTTTCAAAATTTTCAAGCTGGCAGGACATGAAAATCAGAGTTTAGACTCTGTAGCCATTTGCCTAAGAAATATTCATTGAGTGCCTGCTGTGTGCCATAGAGGGAGGATGAAAAAGACGGGGACCCTCTCGTCATGAAGCAAACGGAAATTGTACTGTGCCAAAATGCCAGGGGAGACCGTGCCTCAAGGCACCCACTGCTCCCCATGCAAGAGGGCTTCGATGGGTCTTTAAACCTATTCCCAGCCTTCCAGCAGTCGGAACACCACAGCTGTTAGAACAGGATTCCCGGATGTGAGCATTGCCTGAGAAATTCCCGCAGAGCTTAAAGAACAGTCCCTGGAGTCCTCCTACTTCCGGAGATTCTGATTCAGGTCAGAAGTAGAGTTCAGACAAACAGATTTTGGAAAAGTCCCCCTGAAAGCTTGGAAACCCCCCACTGGAGCGAGTTTCATCCTGTGCACTTGAACAAGCCCGAAATGAGAGAAGCATGTAAGACAGAAAAGGCTTTCTTGGTGATTGTGACCTTTTTGTGACTTCAAGAGACAATTTGGAGTGGAAACCCATCAGTTCTGCAAAAATTTTATTGAGTTGTTTTAATAAATGAAACAGTAAGAATGAAAATGGAGGTGATTTTTTTGGGAATATCAACCTTTTTTTCCATCCTATAGAGCTGGAGATTGTGACCATTTCACTTCTTTTTTAAAATAAAGATTTATTTATTTATTTATTTATGCATACAAGAACTGAGGTACAGGCCAGAGGTGTGGGGGGTGAGAGGATTCACCACAGACAGAGTGGGGAGCAGAACAGGCAGATTGACTGAAATATGCTGCTGTGGGTGTAGCGGGTGAGACAGGAGAGGTCTGCTGTGCCATGTGGGTAGCTTGAGTATCGAACTTATGCTGCAGCTGCTGCGAATAGCTTCACAGTGCTGTGCTTAACCCCTTGCGCCACTAGGGAGACCCCCCATTTCACTTCTTGTGGCTGCTGATAATGTATGATATCTTCCTTCCTGCTTTCTTTTAAAGAGTAATAGCATCAAAAACAACAAAAAATAGTTCTTTCCTAGATAGAAGGAACTCCTTTCTTCCTAAATAGTTCAGAGTTCCAAGTGAGACAAGACTTTGTTCAATTTGCTCTCTCGTCTTCAGCTACCCCAACACTGTTTTATTTATCTCCATCTTATTTAACTTCTTTGTCTCCAGTACCAGTGCAGAAGGTCATCGCCACAGACTTAGTGATTTGAGAGTGCATGCCCTCCGTGCTGCAAATATGGTGGTTTAGGATGTGCCAGTTCCACTTAGCCCATGTACGTTCACTGCCCAGCCCTCTGCTTTTTCCAGAAAGCTGACCAGAACTCTGTGGAATATAGCAGTCAGCTGCCACAAGGGTAGGCAGTTCTTCGAGACCTAATTAAATCAAATTTGACCAAAAAGAAGGGCTCAGGTAATGCTGTTTAGAGGCATTATTTTGCCTGGCTTAATTGAAGCCATAAAATTTAAAGCATAAGAAAGTCAGGGAAGGGCCTCCTGGTAGCGAAAGGGGTTAAGCACCACACTGTGAAGCAATACGCAGCCACTGCAGCATGAGTTCGATCCCTGGCCGGCCAGAGAGAAACCCACATGGCGCAGCAGACCTCTCCTGTCTTGCCCGTTGCTCCCCTCAGCAGTGTATTTCGTCAGTCTGCCTGTTCTGTTCCCCGCTCTGTCTCTGGTGAATCCTCTCAGACACCCCCCCCCCACCTCTGGCCTATACCCCAGCTCTCTTGTATGCATAAATAAATAAATCTTTTTAAAAAATAAAAAGAAAGTCAGGGAAGCCTATTAAGATGCAGATTCCTAGATTTTAACCTCACCTATTCTGACTTGGTGAACTTGGTTGCTACAAAAGCAGCCCAGATGATTTTGATGGGTGGGTGGAGTAGATTTTGGGAAGCAGCACTATGTTTTCTGCGATCAGACCCTGGCCTTAATTCAAGGACTTGACCAAAAGCCTTGCGTAAAGCAAATATACAGTACTTTTTTTTCCTTTGAATGAATGGGTTTTCTACTTCGTGAACGAATATACAAACAAGTTAAGCAAGTATTTTCTGAAATACCTGCATGTGAAAGAAATGAAGAATTAAATGAGCTGGTGTGAATTTTGATGTCTAATATTGGGGGGGTGGGAATAGGATACCCTAACAGAGATTGTCATCCTTCTAATAAAAAGAGCCACTGTTAGGTGTTCTTTTTCCCTCTTTTGCATTTCCAAGTACAGAATTAACAGATTTATTTCAACATACACATTTTATTCCTTTTTTTCTTGAACACATCTGTAGGTCAGAACCTACCAGCATAATTTTCCCAAACCTCCCTTGAGCTCATCTAAAAACTATATATTTTTTTCTCATTCCAGGAGCAAAACCGGATGTTGGAAATGGGAATAACTGGTCCAGAAGGCCATGTGCTGAGCAGACCAGAGGAGGTAAATTACAGGGGAGTGGCAACCAGTTATGCTGGGGCAGGGAAGGAGGGTGAAGGGTAGCAGGGGTGATGAAGTGAGTAGATATGGAGTGGAGGATGGGGGCATGGAGATTTGGAGGTAAGTATCTAAATCCTTTCCTTCTTTTTAAGATTTTTATTTAATTTTGCATAGAAGAACTGGGGTGTAGGCCAGAGGTGCGGGAGAGAGGGCATGAGAGGATTCGCCAGAGACAGAGTGGGGAGCAGAACAGGTGAATCAACTGAAATACACTGCTGAGGGGAGCAGCGGGTGAGACAGGAGAGGTCTGCTGCACCATACGTGTGTCAGCTCCCTGGCTGGGGATCAAAATCAGGCTGCTTTGCCACTGGAGGGCTGTCGCAGAGATAGCACTGAGACTTACTTAACCCTAAGCCACCAGGGAGGCTCTCTAAATCCTTTCTGAATTACTGTGCATCCCAGAGGCATTTCTTCTTAGTCCCTTATTGCATATTGTATTTTGAGTCCTGTAGAATATTGCCTATATGGACGGAAGGTTAAAGGGTTTATCATAGGCATTATGTCTGCTAATTCATATGAGAAGATGCTTATGTCCATGGAAGTATGGAATTTTCCCACCTGCAAAATGAGTGATGATTAGTGTGTGTGCTTCACAGTGAGAGAGCTCAAGGTGACTGTCGCTAATTCCATGTTTCTGGGATGCCTGCCACCTTACCTGCTGGCACGGAGAACAGAGCTGGGAATTGGCCGCCCACATGACTGAAAGCCTGTTGGCTTTGGGAAACCAGTATAGGTCTGGCATCGGGAGCAAATTCATGGTCCTCCATGTTAGTGAAGCAAGTCCTCTTCCTATCCTGTCCTCTAAGACCCAAACTCAACAATGGGTAGAAAGAGAAATCAGAACCAGACATGATTATATTCCCATTGTCCATCTCTTTTAGAGCCTTTTTCAAAATTAAGATGGAACGCACTTGGAGCAAAGTGTTCCCGTCAATGAATTTTCCCTAATGAATGAATATGCTGGTGTAAGTAGCACCCTGCTGGAGAAACAGAACATCAATAGCACCCCAGTAACTCCTTGTATCTAAGATAATTTTGTTATCAGCTGTAGCATGTCACGTTTTTGGTGATCTATCGGGGTCAAGACAGAAATTCTGTCTCCTTGATCAGAGCAGCTCCCTTCTCTGGGGTGCCTGCTGTCCCCAGTACGTGGTGCTAATTGAGTTCTCAGTTCCCCCTGCTGCTGCTCCAGTGTTATTGTTCCATAAAGACCCTGAAGCTCAGAGCGTTGAAGCCACAGGATTTGAAGAATTGGGAAATTTTTTGCACAGGGTTCGGAAGCCAGCATGATCAGCACTATTTGTGAAACTTTTCTTAAATCCCTGCCTTGGTGGAGACATGCTGGCAGTAGCGCCTAAGCCTCAGCCAGGGGATTTCTGAGCAAAGTCTATTTTTGTTCCTTGGTTTGTTTCTTCAACCCTCCCCACCACCCCTCCTTGCTCCTGTGTCCTTTTTAGTAAAAAGCCTCTCAGCTGCAGGTCTCTGTACCCCTGGAAGCCCTTTCGGGTGAAGTTGGGAGCTGATGTCACCTTCTAAACATAGTCCTGTTGTCAGGGTGCTGGGAGGGAATGAGATCCCAGGGCAGTGATGAGGGGGAGGGAGTGGGGTGGTGATGGTGGTGGGGGGTGGTGGCAGGGAGCAGAGGACAGGAGGAGGCAGCCCCTCTTCACCTCAAAGCATACTCAGATGCTATCTTGAGGGATTCTGGGGCTGAGCCAGCACCGGAGACCACTGCTCATGAGTCTGGGCATGTCAGGACGATGGCCCCACTCACCCCCCGTCTGTGGTCTCCAGGGTCTTGTTCACCAGAAACCATGTGTAGTTTGGGGAAGGCCAGCCCTGCAGCCGGGCTCTTAGTCTCAGTCTTACTCTGGCTATGCAAGCCCCACCCACTGCGTCAGGGACTCCTTTGCATTATAGACACGTTAGGCAGCTGCAAGCTCTCTTTGGTATTTTTTTAAAAGATTTATTTATTTATGCATATAAGAACTGGGGTACAGGCCAGAGGTGCAGGGGCAGGGAGTGGTGAGAGGATTCACCAGAAACAACAGAATGGGGACCAGAACAGGCAGACTGAAATACACTGCTGAGGGGAGCAGCGGGCGAGATAGGAGAGGTCTGCTGTGCCATATGGGTAGCTCCCTGGCCAGCCAGGGATCAAACTCATGCTGCAGAGGCTGAAGACAGCTTCACAGTGCCATGCTTAACCCCCTGCACCACCAGGGAGGCCCTATCTTTGGTATTTTTAAATGTGTAGGGCTGCATAGGCTAACCAGAATGGCATCCATCCAAAAAGGAACTGTAGCAGGTTACATGGGAAAATGCTGAGGTCTCGGCTTTGGGCTGAGTTACATCGGTCGGCTTTGGGTAGTAACACAGGTACTCTCACACTGGCCAGAAACTGTGATCAGCAATGCAGCCACAAGCCAGCCTCCAAGAAACACTTGTCCCAGGAGTGGGCTCATTATAAGGATGAACTCTTTTAATCGCCCCCCAGTATCCCTGGGTGTCAGGTCCCATTCTTATCCCCACTTTACAGACCAGGAGACTGAGGCTTTGGAGCTTGTGCAGTGTGGCTGAGGTTGCCCAGCTTCTATGTGGCAGAACTGGAACTGAGACTTGAGCTCTCATCTCAGATCCTGCTTTGCTGATGATCTAAGGGAAACACGTTATTTCCTACTGAATAAATGCAACTTGGCTAGCATATTTGAATACGCAAATCTATGTTAGAGTGGAATGGAGGAGATCGTTAATAAGAAAAGTCTTAAGCTGAGCTAGCTAGGAATTATAATAAGAAATTAATTGGTGCAGCATTAGTTACAGTAGCTAGGACATGGGAACAAGCTAAGTGTCTGCTGATAGAAGACTGGATCAAGACAATGCGGCTTTTCCGCCTGATGGAATTTTATTAAACCATACAGAAAGATTAAATGTTGCCATTTATAGCAAAATGGAGGGAGTTCTAGGGAATTATGTGTCATGAAGCAAGTCGGAATGACTTGCCAGAAAGACATTGGGCATTTACCTAGCAGATGATTTGACAAAGCAAAATATTTATGAAAATTACCAGACACTAATGAAAGAAGCAAAGCTTCTGCAGTTAAGGAGGAAAGAGAAGGGGGCAAAAGGGTAGAAGGGATGGTGGTGGGGAAAAAAAATAGAAAAAATAATGTGGTTTACACAGTTTGTCTCCTATTGATGGAACGTGTTATTTCCACTTTATGCAATGCTATTGGGGAAGATTTCTTTGAGTTGAATTAAAGAAAAAAAAAAGGAGTGCTCTGTGATCTCAACTTTTGCCACAAATATTTGCTAATTCCTTGGGCTGGAAATAGTGACAAGTTTTGCAGTTAGCCAGACTGATCACACTGAGCCAGCCTAAGGGACAGGTTACCCGCTTGATTTGCATTTGGAGAAACTGAGGCTTATGGAGATGAAGATGTGTTCAGGTAAACTGTCCAGGAGGTGACAGGCACCAGCGCTCCCCTCCCTCTCTAGCTGTCTTCTATGCTCCATTTTCCCCTCCTCTGAGCCCATCCCTAGAACTGGAGCCTGCCTCCCGTGTGGATTGGATGCCTTGGGGACTCAGGTGACAGCCCCCATGGAGTGAGAGGAAAAGAGTGACCATTCTGCTTCCTGAGCTTGAGCAGCTTTGGGGTTCAATTTTTTTTTTTTTCTAAGCTGGGAAAAAGTGACTGTACTGATTATGCCTCAAAGCACAAACTGTTAACTCACTGTGGTTTTGTGACTGACTCTGTTTTGGACTCTCAAACTTGCTGACAGTGTTCCCCTCAAGCTGGGGAGGGGGAGGACTCAGCATCCCCAAAGAGTCACATTTTGGGTCCCTGTTTATACACCACCAGCAGAGAGAAAAGCAACAGATAATCTTGTCGTGAGCAGAAAGCAAATCGAATGTTCCAGCATCTGCAGTTTCAATATTGAGACAAGCTCCTGCAAAAGCAAATAAATAACAACCGAACAATTGGGTGGCACAGTAAGTTGATCAGATGGTGATCTAGCAATACTGACTCCACACTAAGCCCAAATTTGAACCAGAAAAAAGGGGCCTTCGACTGACTTCATTTGAGTCTAAATGGGGTGTCTGCTGCCTCTGCAGACTGCTTCTAATCAGCTCAAAATAATGCCGTTGAAGAGTTTTCTGCAGAGAAACATGTCGTCATTTAAAAAAAGGCAAAGAAATTAGCTGTAATTAGTTGAAACGAACCCGCTACTGGCCATGCATTCCTGCAGGAAGAGATTTGATGCCTAATTGCCTTTGCTGGTTATTTTGTACCTTTTAGTGCTGGGATAATGTGTCCTCAGGCTCTACCTTGAGAAGGTGTAGGAGCAAAGGTTTCCATTCACAGGTAGCTTTTGTGATCATCACTGAGAGGGGAGAGAGTGGCCAAAGCCAAGGAAAAACTTTGCCTGTTGATGTGGTGCTGCTGTGAGCAGGCTCCGCCCCCACATGCACATTGCAGGTGAGGGCTGAGGAAAGTGACAGGGCTACAGAGTGGTAGCGCTGAGATTCCTATCCAAGGCTTCTAACTCCAGATCTTCTTAGACCCTTAACCTCCCTCTGTGCTGCCCTGCATTCTCAGCTCCTGGAGGCCAGGGAGTGGCAGCTTTGGGCGGCCAGGCTCCCTCTGATTCTGGAGGACTCTTTTTTGCAGCTGGAGGCCGAGGCTGTGTTTCGGGCCATCACCATCGCCAGCCAAACCAACTGCCCTCTGTATGTCACGAAGGTCATGAGCAAGAGTGCAGCCGACCTCATCTCCCAAGCCAGGAAAAAAGGTGATTTGTGCTTCCAAGATCTTGGAGCCCCTGAAGGGCTCTGTGGCCCCAACCCTCCCTGGCTGTCTTGCAAAATGGTGCTGGTTTTGCCTACCACATTGCTTTCTGGGAAGCCCCTCATCCATGGTAGACCCACTTGAGCCCTTCCATATCCTGTGTGGATGGCAGGATCCCAGGATCCCAGGATTTCTCCCACTTGGCAGATGAGTAAACTCAGGGTCAGAAGGTAAGTGGTTTGCCCAAGATGACACAGCCTGAACCGGTTCTTGGAAACCTGGCGCATCAGTCTACCTCCCTTTGATCATTCATTATTTGGTTCTCATTATCTGGGCTTTGTAATTGGACATAATAGTCAGGAAATATTGTGTGCTGAAGTCAAAGATCCAACTCAGACTGACTTAAACAAAGTTCAAGTTTTCTTACAAAAAAGCTGAGAGAATTCTGTAGTGAGCACTTGTACAGATGCCACCATTCACACTTTACTTACTTAGGCACATTTATGTCCACCTGTCCATCCATCAAGCCATCTTGATTATTTTTGGATACACTTTATTTTTTTAAAGATTTATTTTATTTATTTATACAAGCACTGGGTACAGTAAGAAGTGCTGGAGGGTGAGAGAATTCACCAGAGCCAGAGTGGGGAACAGAACAGGCAGACTGACGAAATACACTGCTGAGGGGAGCAGCGGGCGTGGCAGGAGAGGTCTGCGTGCCATGTGGGACCCTTTCTGGTGGCCGGGGATCGAACCAGCACAGCAGAGGCTGCGGGCAGCTTCGCAGCCCAGCATTCAACCTCTGCGCCACCAGGGGAGGCCCTGGATACACTTTAAATTACATCAGAGGTAAAGTAGTGGGTGTGGGTGTTACGGGCATGGCTAGATCAGGAGGTTTAAATGATGGGACTAGGACTCTAGCCCTCTTATTCCTTTCTTGGCTGTGCTTTCCCCTGTTGGCTTTGTTTTCAGCATCAACAGTGACAAGAATAAATGCCAAGAGCACCTGCTGTGCTCGGCATCTCCTCATTTACGATGAGGCAATACAGTCCATCTTTGTCAAAAGCTCAAACAAAACTCTCTGGGAAGATCTGTCATTGCTTTGGCTTGGACCATGTGCTCGTGCTGACCCCAACTGCTCTGGGGCTGAGATGATTGATGGGGGGAGAGCCCCCTCCAAAGCATGTCTATGGTCTGTCCCACCGCCTCTGAGTTCTGCTTTTCTCCATCACTATTAACTTGACAGTCATTTGCTTGCCTTGGGCTTTAACTTCACTCCAATTTCAAAACTTTTCTTTTCTGCTTTTTGTTTTTGAATGGGCTCACTTGTGAGGCTGGGTAAATGGACAGTGTGGCTGAGAAACTGGAGATGTTGGAGCGCGTTGGGTGGAAGGGAGAACTTTCTGGGCCTGCAGGCAGCTCTGGTTGGGGAAGGTCCCGAGAAGAGTGAGTCACCTGCCAGGCACTGCACTGCTCCATAAAAGTCCACGAGTGACCGGGGCGGCTAAAAATAGCTGATGGTAGCTGAGTGTTCAGCCGCCCGACCTCCTGGCACAGGGTGACCCTTTCCTTGTAGGAGGGAGGCTTGCTAATTGTCTAGACAGCCTCCCCAGCTGGCAGATTCTGGGGCACCTCCTACCTCGCCCTGCGCACAGCGCGCTTGCTGTTTTCTCTCTCGGCTTTTAAATATCACAACATGACATGTGATGCTCCAGGGGCGTGAGTCCCAGGGTGGGAGGCGGGGGGAAGGAAGGGGAGGCAGGAGAGGGCCAGGAGAGCAGCCCATGTTTCTTACCCACTCTTGGAGAAAGTAAAAAACTTAAAAAAAAAAAAAATGAATGAGAAAAGAAAAGAGACAAAAAAAGCCAAGCACGCGGGGAACAACCACAATCCCCCTGCTCCCCACTCCTAGTCATCTTCTCGTGCCTTCTCCTGAAGGTTGCATCCTGCCTGGAACCCCTTCTCAGATGACCTGTGGGCCTTGGGTCATTCTATTTCCATTCTATGCTGGGTCATATTTTAATCTTCATGAAGGAAAATTCTTCACCCTTAACCTTCTGACTCATGATTGTCTGGCAAGGGGAATTAGTACAACTATGTCTCCAGGGTGGGCGGAAGGCATTATTTAAGAGATGAAAAACTGGCTGCTGAGATTGAAGCCAGTGTAATGGCTCATAAGCTGTCATTCTTGGGTGGAGAGCCCAGAACATTCGGAGCAGGAGGAGAGAGTGTAGCTGGGCTCACTGTTCCCTCCCAACCAAAGTACTATTTAAGTGTTTAATCTCCAAGGGCTCTCTAGACTCTGTGTGTCTGCACAGAATTAATAGTTGGAATCTACAATTTAAGAGAACCAGCGCTGTGTCCTGCATTAACAGAAATATGCGAAATGTATTATATGTATGGTTCTCAAAGAACGCTGAGAAATAGGTATTACTATCATCATTTTTCAGATGAGAAAATTAAAGCATGCTTGTCTAGCTGAGAGAGCTGGTATTCAAGTTCAGCTAGAATTATCACTTTTGTTTATTTTACGTTTCATCTAAAGATTTTCCAAAGACAGAGTTCTTCTATTTTTCAGATTGTATTTCTATTAATAGTACTTAAGTACTTGCCTTCCCTTTTGCTTCTTCATTACTTTGTGGCTCTTATATGCTTTAATTTGGTAAATATTTTTGGAGACTCCTTGAAATTCTCACTAGTCCTTTTTATTTCCACCCCAAAGAGCAGGGCTTTCCTATAGGGACCATTACCGTAGCTTCCTTCTTTTGCCCACGGCAGACATCACAAATCACCCCATCACAAATCGATCTCACTTTCCTGGTGAGACCAGAAGCTTTATTGGAATTCTTCCTGACACAGAATCCTAGGTAATTGACACCAGTTGACTGAATTGAAGGAAGATAAAACCTGTTAGAGAGCTGGACACAGCCTTCCTAAACTTGGACCTTGTGGGGAGCCTGAATGTGAGGGTGGAGGACCGATGCTAACGAAGGCCATGTCTATAAGGGGCCCAGGATTCTGGCACAGAAACTACTTTCTATGAGGCAGGATTTCACTTTTGTGTCATTATTCTATCTTTTTTGAGAAGCTCAACCAAAGCTTTGTTCAGTTTATTTACCAATATCTTACCTCTTTTTCCCGTGGTTTGGGTGTTTAAGCCCCTTGTTCTAGACACAGGGGCCATAAAACTAGCCCTGTCTTAGATGTGTCCCAGGTTATTGGGTATCCTTGCGCAAATCACTTGCCTTGGATTAAGGAGTAACAACGTGATGGGAAGGATCATGAGAGCCTCACATCAACAGGTGTGGATTTTAATTTAAAGAGATAAAACATGTCCCTGGAAGAGCCAGATGTAGCAGTTCCAATGATATGGTGCATTTGGGACACCAGGCCCTATAATGGGGAAGAGTAGGAGGTATAAAGAAGTCAGATTTTCTCAACATCTTCTGTGTGTCACTTTGCCTATGCCAAATCCTTTCATTTTTACAAACTGAGACGTTTCCTCATTTCCAGGAAGATTTATCTCACACTGTAACATTTCTGAAAAGAGGGTGGTTGTGTGTTTGTGTATCTTTTTTCTCTTGCCTCAAATTTGAATATGACTCAGCATTTGAGAATTAATGCTGCATCATACAAACAATCTAGGAAATACAATTTCTGCCCATTTAGCAGATAGGAAAGCAGAGGCTCAGAAAAGGTGGGAATGCGAACTTGAACCCAGGCCACCCTAACTGCAGAGCTAGGACCTTGAGTAGATTTAGGGACCTTGAACCCAGGCCGCCCCGCTAACTGCAGAGCTAGGACCCTTGAGTAGATTTAGGGACCATGATGCTTTAGTGCAGCGCATGTGTTACACAACCGCATTGCCTATTTCCTACCCTTCTAGGAAACGTGGTCTTTGGCGAACCTATCACTGCCAGCCTCGGCACGGATGGAACCCACTACTGGAGCAAGAACTGGGCCAAGGCGGCTGCATTTGTGACATCCCCACCTCTGAGCCCTGACCCGACCACTCCTGACTACATCAACTCCTTGCTGGCCAGGTTGGTGCAGAGACCACAACAGCAGGCCTGTTGTGGCAGAATCTTGGGGCTGCGGGGTGAGGACTGGTACAGCCCATCCATCAGCTAGACTAGAATCTGCAATGAGGGAAGCAGAGTGGAAATTTCCCTGCAGTCTTAAACTCAGACAGCAAGCTCTTCCCCATCATATTTCTTCTTATTTCATTTCATTTTATTTTTGGGGGTAACATTGGTTTACAATACTGTGCATGATTTAGGGGCATAGGTCCCTAACTTTTTAGATATGTGTTATCATACCACATCCACCACCAAAGCACCCATAGTCCTTTACCATGAACCATTGGGTCCCTCCCTCCTCCATTCCCCACTCTCCAACCCTCCCCCGCTCTCCGGTAGCCTCAATTTCTATAGTCAGATTTCTAGGTTTTGTTTTGGTTTAGTTTTTTCTGTTCCTTTGCTTTTTCTCCATATTCCACATACAAGTGACAGCATCCAATGTTTGTCTTCTGGGTTATTTCACTTAGCATGACCCCTTCTAATTCCATCCATGTTGTCTCAATGGCAAGATTTCATCTCTTTTTATAGCTGAGTAGTATTCCAGTGTGTCTATATACTATATCTTCCTAATCCACTGAGGTTGTTTCCTTGGTTACTCAGGTTGTTTGCATAATTTGGCTGTTGTAAACAGTGCTGCAGTGAACACAGGACTGCCAATATCTTTTCAAAGCAGTGTTGGGCATTCTTTGGGTAAATACCAAAGAGTGGAATTGCTGGATCATGTGGTAGATCTATTTTTAATATTTTGAGGAACCTCCATACTGTTTTCCATGAGGGTTGGACCTGTCTGCATTCCCACCAGTAGGATGCAGGGTTCCTTTTTCTCTATACTGTCTCCAACACTTGTTGCTTCTGGTTCTTTTGCTAGGCCATTCTCAGGGTGTGAGGTTGTATCTCACTGTGGCTTTGCATGTACCCGATGATAAGTGGTGATGGACATTTTTTCTTGTGCCCGTTGGTCATCTGAATGTCTTCTTTGGAGAGATGTCTGTGTAGTTCTTCTGCCCATTTTTTATTGGGTTCTTCCCATCACATTTGGAAAACACCACAGTTATCATCACTCAGAGTTACAGCAGTGAATATGTATCATATTCCATGTGTTATGGGGATACTGCATGCATAGTCTCATTGTCCCTCATGACAGCTTAGTGAGTGGGGCGCTATCATCCCCATTTTATAGATTATGTAAGTGAAGTTCAGAGACATGGTGTCATTTGTCTTATTTCAAACACCTGACTAATGACCACGTACAAAACTTACAGGAAGTTTCATTGGTTTGCCCTGTAGACACAGAGGATCTGTCTCATCACTCATTTGGGTCCCTTTTGTTATACAAGAGATGATTAGATCCCAGCCCCTAGTTTTCCACAAGGGGAAAATGAGTCCCACAGCAGGGAGAAAATCACATAGTTGGCAAATGTTGGAGGGAGGATTCCAAGTGTTTACACACTGGACTCTGGACCCTGGGGTGCCTCTAGCCACATCTCCCATTCACATGGAGCCTTTCGCCTTTGCCAGTGGGGACCTGCAGATCTCGGGGAGTGCCCACTGCACCTTCAGCACTGCCCAGAAAGCCATCGGGAAAGACAACTTCACAGCCATTCCCGAGGGCACCAACGGTGTGGAGGAGCGCATGTCTGTCATCTGGGACAAGGCTGTGGTAAGGTCACAGGAGGTCAGCCAGGGCTGCTGTTTCTCCACATCCACTTGAGAGGGGTACTGGGATGCAGATGAAGCCTCGATTCTGCTGAGATGTCTCTGGAACCAGGTAGCTGGTGTGGTTTGGGAATGTCCCCTTCAGAATGATGAATCCTCTGGTCTAGGGCTCTGAGCAGGCCCATTTAGATTAAGGACTAGGAACCAGATAGAACTATCCTCATCTGATGGTGTGAAAGATGTGTATTTAAAATATTAGTGAATTAAAATTCTTTTTGTTTGGAGAGTTTTTATGCTTTCTTCTGAAAGGACTGCATGTGATCCTTTGAGATAAGCAGAGATTTGTGTCTGAAGCTAAAGTCATCTTGCTCACCAGGAATGCCCTACTAGGGTGTGTGGCCACCTAGGTATAGAAGTGAGTCTCTGTCAGTATCTTCTGGCAAAGTGGCCTGGTTTTATTTTCCTTATAAATATCACTGAGGCAGACAAAAGAAATAGTCATGCAAGTGAAAGTTCTCCCACAGATTTTAGTAAAATTAACAAGGAACCCATTAAGTTGATTGTTTCCTTTTGTTTTATTTTTATAACACTAAGGACACTCATTTCAGAGTCAAATACAGTGCATATAAACTAAGGCCTCCTTAATTTACTCAATGTAATTTATCAGATTTCTGTTTTCTTTTTGGCTTCCAGGAAGCTCAAAGCTAATTTTAAACTAAATTCTTCTTTCCTTAGTCAGACTTTTTTTTTTTAAAGAGATAATATATATTTTTGTTTCTTCTCATGTAAATAGATTTTGGTCTTTTTTAAAAGTTTATATAATTTCTTTCTGGAACTGTTAAAATGATCTATTTTAATTACCAACATGATGTGCTAGGCAAAGAATACTTGGAAATCACTGTAAAGCACACACATGAAAGAAGACAAAAATCACTGGTATTCAGCTTCCAAGGAATCGCCATTACTATCATTTGAATGAGCTGCTCCATCATTTATCCTGTGCCCCTGTGGATATAAGCACGTCTTAACAATGGGCTCATGATCGCCTTTGTTTTCACTAGGTGTTCTCTTTACTCCTCTTTGGAATGGGGATGGGTAAATAAGTAAGCAAGTACATGGGCGTACTTGGAAAGTGTGCACCATGTGGGAGCAGGGGCGTCTGTCTTAGCTGTGTGCAGCCATTTTGCTCGTCTCCCATCACAACTTCTGAGTCTCACCGCCTCAGAGGGCTCTCCCGTACTTCTGACCTTTGTGGTCTCTCTGCTCAAAGCTCAGAAGCTGTGCACTGGTGCTTTTCTGTCTTTATATTTCAATAGGCCACAGGGAAAATGGATGAAAACCAGTTTGTGGCCGTGACTAGTACGAATGCTGCCAAGATCTTCAACTTGTATCCTCGCAAGGGAAGAATATCTGTAGGTTCTGACAGTGACCTGGTCATCTGGGATCCAGATGCTGTGAAGATCGTGTCTGCCAAGAACCACCAATCGGTAAGGCTGAGCTGGCAGAGCAGAGGGTCCCTGCCTGGAACTTGGTTGGAAAGATGTGTGTGTATGTGTGTGTGTGTGCATGTGTGTGTTTAGTGTGGTGTGGTGTGTGTGTGTGTATGTGTATGTAGTGTGGGGTGTATGTGGTGTAGTGAGTGTGGGTGTGTTAGTGTACAAGGGTAATTAGCCTAGAATGTTGCAATAACATGATCCCAAATTCTCAGTGCCTTCAACCTCAGTAGTAACTTTCTCACTCTGCTTTCCAAGCTGGGTCAGCAAAGGGCTCCCTGCCTCAGTGTCCCTTAGGGACCGGGGTGGAGTGAGGCCATTCCTGCATCCATGCTTGCTGAGCCAGAACCGTGACTGGGTGAATGGTGTACTGGCTCTGGAAGCTTCCCCAGGATGTCACTGCCTCTCACGCCACATTGGCCAAAGCCAAGGCCATGGCCATGTCTTATTCTAGGAGGTCAGGGAAGTGCACTGATCTCTTGAACCTAAAAGGAGAACAAAAGGGGGGATATTTGGTGGAGAACATGAATGACTTCCGTATGAGGAGTTTCATGGGAAGTTAATGAGGCAAACTCAGGAAGTAGCAGAAAGGGGCATCTTACTTGTTTGTGAAAATAAACAGTCCTTTTTTTTTTTTTTTGTGGGACCCTCGCTGGCGGCCAGGGAATGAACTGGCGCTGCAGAGGCTGCGGGCAGCCTCGCAGCCCAGTGCTCAACCGCTGCGCCACCAGGGGAGGCCCAATAACCAGTCCTTTTTAAGCACTTGGGTTTCAGGCACGGTGCTTTTAATCCACTGACTGTCCATATCAGGCTCCTACAGGAGAACACTATTATCATCAGCCCCTCTCTATACATGAGGGAATAGGGGTGCAGAGAAATTTAATAATTTATGCAGCAAGTAAATGGTGAAGCCAGGATCCCAATCTGAATAGCCTGACTCCAAGCATCTATCTGTGACTGCTTTGCTGGGATACCTGGCACTGGCTGAATAATGGAGGAGGGAGGGAGAAGTCCTACTTTGGGCAATAATGACCTTGGCTTACACATTGTCTCATAGCACATTATTGAATTTCAAGCTAGTTCCTAAGGGTCATGAAACCCACCTTCCCATCACCACTTACAAGACGCAGAACTGTGTCCCCAGGAGTTGTTAAAGGACAGGAGAGGGATATTCCAAAACCCCCAAACCTGCCTGTTCTAGATAGGTTCTGCCATCGGCTGCATTAAGACAAAACATATAAGACCTTTAATGGAAAGGAACTTTAATACAATTAGTGTGCAATACAGAAAAGGCAGAGAATATAGTTTCCAAATCAAGCACCTGAAGTTACCCAGGCCCTCGTGGGTAAAAGCCCACCCAAACAGGATTGGCCCAAAGCAAGGCTTGAGAGCCTGCCACAAGTCTAAAGCACCTTCCTGTGGGGACCCATAGAAAAGGGTCAGAAACAGCCAGACAAGTCTGGGAGGAAAAGAGTAAAATCAAAATCAAGATAAAAGCTGCCATTGTTAACCTCCCCACGGGTGTCTCACCCACATCTGTTTCAACCGGCTGAGGACCAAGAAGCAAGTGTAGCTTCGTCACGTGTCTTTCTGCTCCTTGTGCCTCCTCCAGGTCTCCTTCTGGCTCTCCATCCTGCTTCCTTCCCATTCCAGTTTCCTCTCCAGCTTCTTTTCCTCCCTGCTCAGCTCCACCCTCCCTTGGGTTGGGCAGGCAACCTAGAAATCCTCTTTTCCTGGGGGCCACCCTGTTACAGAGTGACCCAGTTTGTGTTTAAACCCTGCCAGTGACAGAAGCCGCCTCCCCACAAGGCCCTCGCTGAGGTGCCGCTCGGGGCGCTGGCAGCTGGCTGCTAGTGTTCCCGCCCACCCGGTCATCTGTTCTAGTGACACCGAAGGCAGGACCCCAAGCCCAGGAGAAGCAAGCCCCCTTTCCTCCACTCCTACCCAGTGCTCTCCCTCTGTGTCCAGGCTGCAGAGTATAACATCTTTGAAGGGATGGAGCTGCGTGGGGCGCCACTGGTGGTCATCTGTCAGGGCAAAATCATGCTGGAAGACGGCAACCTGCACGTGACCCAGGGGGCCGGCCGCTTCATCCCCTGCAGCCCCTTCTCTGACTATGTCTACAAGCGCATTAAAGCACGGAGGAAGGTAAGAAGCTGGTGCAGCATGGACAGGGATGGCGGGGGTGGTGGGGGCAACTTTGCACCCCTTTCAGGTCCAGGGATGATAACCATGAGCTTGGGAGAGGCCTTTGTGCTCTAGGCTTTTCCAAAGAAATCTGCAGCGACAGGACGATTCCATGCACTATGTGCCACGAAGAGGGGTTTAAAATCTTTTTGACCCAAAACAGCTTTTCTTCAAATGATTTCTCCCATGTATAGTGCTTTAAAAATAATTTAAACTTTTAATAATTCAAAGTAACCTCAGTGAATGTGTGTGTGTGTGTGTGTGTGTGTGTGTGTATATATTTATGCCACCTGAGTCCTGATGTCTGCAGCGTGGCAGCCTTCACCCCTGTGCTGGCCCCCGAGTGCAGAGGAGTAGGCTCCAGGCTGACCTGGAGTCTGAGGACCAGCCATCCCTACTGTGGGGCCTTGGCTCTGATCAGGGACAAGGCAGAGCTTGTATGCTGGCTGCACACACCTTGGGTGGTCTTGCAGTGTTTGTCTAACAGACCAGGAGCCCCTTGGGGGAGTAGTGATCATAAGTCCAAGCCTGGCACCAGGCCAGCTCAGAGCATGCACTGGGTGGGGTGGCCTGCTGAAAGCATGCACTTAGTGGGTTAGCATGGAGCATGCACTTGGGGGTTTGCTAGCTGACTGCACAGTCCGAGGGCACATGCATAGCCATAGCTACAGGAAGAGGTCAGAATGCACACTTCCAGGCCTGCCAATTCTGCATCGGGAGGTGAAAATGGAGTACCCAGGCCTGCCAGCATGGACCACCTCTCCGCCATCTACCCATTCCTCTCACTCTGCAGGCCCTCCATAATATCTCCACTGTAGGTTTCCTGTGCTGGGAACACGGCTGTCCACACCACCCCTCTACACTGTCTCCCCAACCCTCCTTCTTCTCCCCCCTCAGTCCCAAATAAACTCCTTTCATCCTTGAGATTGAGGCTCATCTAGACAGGCCTCCAAGGACCACCTCCATTGTTACACCATTGCAACACCCCCCCTTCTATTTTTTCATATTCTCCTTTCCTTACAACAGTATTAGTCTTACTATTATTGTTTTCTGGCCCCCACTATACACACTGAAAGCACTGATATTCCTGTGCTGCCTAGAACGGTCACAGCATACCTGTTGCAGGGACTGACATGTGCCCGCTTTCTCTGCTGCAGATGGCAGACCTACATGCTGTCCCACGAGGCATGTACGATGGGCCGGTGTTTGACCTGACTACCACTCCCAAGGGGGGTACCCCCGCCGGCTCCACCCGGGGCTCTCCCACTCGGCCAAACCCGCCCGTGAGGAACCTGCATCAGTCGGGATTTAGTCTGTCTGGTGAGTGGGACAAGCCGGGGGTGACCTTCAGTGAGGCAGGGAGGAGGGGGGGTCCTCCATGCCCCCAGGCTGGTGGGTGATGCTGGGAGCTAACCCAGGTCCTGCACCTTTCAGGGAGGTGGTTACTGGCCCAAGTGAAAGTTTGCTGAACCGGAAAGAGCCAGTTGAGAAAGGCAAGGGCAGGCGGTTAAGATCAGGCCTGGAGGGGATCATGCTCAGTGAAATAAGCCAGCCAGAAAGAAAAAGAAAAATACTGGATGGTTTCACTTACAGGAGGAATGCAGAGGATCCAAATAAGGGATCAGGAAAAAAATAAGTAATCATAATAAAGTAAATATCAAAATCAACAGGCAACTATAAACCAGAGACATTCTGCAGGGGGGGAGAAGGGAGTAGGATCAAAACAGGAGTGGGAAGAGCACAAGGGACTATGGTGATGGTGAATGGGTGGTGGGAATTTCATGGGGACTATGCCCGAGAGGAGAAAGCATACATTGTAAAAAAATAAAGAACAATGTAAAAAATATATAAAATTAAAAAAAATTGGAAAAAAGGTCAAAAAAAAAAAAAAAAAAGATCAGGGCTAAATTGTGACCCATTCTGCTCAGACCCGGTGGGACAGGGCATGCTTTCCATCCTGAATGGACAGTGTTGTTCTAACTGGACTGGGATCTACACCTGGGTTGTGTTTTATTTGTTTACCAGGATTAAAAATGGCTCAGCTAATATCAAATTGCAGTAGCTTCTTCAAACATTTTTACTATATTCTCCCCTGCCTGGAAATACTCATACTACCGCTTATAGTAGCTACCACTGATTGAACATTTATTGTGAATTAGACATAGCATTAATCTTCGGTGTTCTTTCAGAGCTATCTGATATTAACAGAAAGCCACCATTCATTGCTCCATAACCAGTTGTCTTAAAATGGGGGGAAGTTGTTGATCTGCAGCTCTGTTATGAATAATTGAAATATGACAAAAGCAAGATAAGGGGAAGAGATAGAGGAGAAAAACCATGTGTGGGGAAGGAAGAGGCTGAGGAACAGAAGAAACGGGAAGATGAGGCTGAAAAGAGTGGGCTGGGGAGGAAGGCAAAGCAAAGAGCTGACCTGTTGAGATGCACCCCTGGTGGCTCAGTACGCCAATCGCAAGACATTTTTTGTCAGTGTTTTTCCATTTTCCATTGCACCCTGACTGCTTACAGCCTTTAACTTTCAGCAGCTCCTTTCTAGATGGTCCCGAGGGCATACAGACATTTGCTTTTGTGCCAGTGGCCACAGTGCCATGGCCCTCACCATTCAGAGTTGTGAAACCTTGGGCCAGTCCCCCAAGCCCCCAGCTCAGTCACCTCCTCTTCCTTCTCAAACAACAGTGGTGAAGAGCACAGGAGATGCCTGTCACAGTGAAAGCAGCTGGTTTTTAGATCACCATTGTTCATTTTACTCTGGTGGTTATGATGCGGAGGGTCTGTGGAAATAGAGATCAGAACTTGGCTTTTCCTGCCAGAGGACGGGGAGGCTGGAAATGAAAAGTCTGGTATAGGAATTTATGGGGAGAGTGGGATGAAACTAGGAGAGCATTTTATATCTTACCCTCTTAAAATTAATTCAATTTCTCTCCCTCTCCCTGTGCATCTATTGTCCCCCGCAGGCACCCAAGTGGACGAGGGCGTCCGCTCAGCCAGCAAGCGCATTGTGGCGCCCCCTGGAGGCCGTTCTAATATTACATCCCTGAGTTAAGCAGCCCCTCCCCAAAGAGGGCCAGAAGCAAGAAGAGATTGTTTTGAAGCCAAAATGGTACACCGATATTTAAGAAGGAAAGCGAATCCAAACAATTGCGATCTACAGAATCAATAAGCCTCAAGCCTTATGTTTCTCCAATGTTACGCTCGCTTGCCTAGCTTTACGAATATTGCTTTGTTTTCTGTTTATGCATAGCCTTGATTTGTTTGCTCCCCCCCGCCCCCCATTTACATGCATGCAATCAGGCCGCTAAGGTAAAGGAGTCTGCTATATAGTGTTGAGAGCGTGTGTAGTGCTGCATCTTACGACAAGGGGACAGACAAAGCTGGGACGTCAGGAACGCGAACAAAAGGGACACAGTTATTGGGGGTGAGTGGGTGGTGGGAGCCCTGAGCAAGGTGGAGGGCTCAGAGGGGCTGGGGTCGGGGAGGTGGGTGGGTGGGTGAGCATCAGGGGTCTCGTGTGTTGTGCTGATGAAGTACGTTTATTTCCATGGGAGATGACCGCTGTGGCAGCCCTGGCCTCCCGCGGCCCCCGGGGTCGCCGAGAAGGTGGTGTCTTCAGGTTCTGGACTTTGTCACATTCCCTCCTACTAGATTTTATTCTTCTGAACATTTTATTGAAACTCCAAAGCCCAACCATTTCTTCCGCGTGCTTGATCGTGCCAGTGTTTGGTTGGGTCTCAGCGTTCAAATTCTTGTCTTTCCCAGGTTGGGAAGGAGAGGGGAGAGGACTCTTGAATTCCTCTTGCTCTCACTGCCTCTTTGGTGCTCTTAAAAGGCAGCAGCTGGGAGCACAGCGTGGCCCTCGGGCCCTCGGGGATGAGGCCCCGCCCTTAAAAAGCCCCTCTGGCTGCGGAGATCAGCTCCCCTGTTCAGTCTTGGCCAACTTCTGGCGTCAGGCTTAGGATCCTGGGCGCTGACATGGCACCAAATGGAGGGCTTCCCGGCCACGGTGAGTGTTTGATTCTCTCCATCTCTTGAAATCCAGGCATCCTTGATTGAATAGGATCTTGTTTTTTTTTTTTTTTTTTTTTGAATGTGTTGTATTAGTTGTTTCCTGACTTTTACTACTAACAGGTAGTAGTTTGCGGGCAGTCAGGTGGGGGTTGGGAAAGCCAGTCTGGAGCAGTGGGCATTTTACTGTGTGGCTGTGGTGGTTTTTCAGTCCCAAGCCATGACTCCCCTTCCATCAGTAAATCAGAGGGACGGGGGGCCTTGTGTTCGGCAGGGACATCTCCGACATGAGTTGTGGCCTTCCTGATATGCGTTCAGGCCCTTAGCAGCTCCCCTCCCTGTCTGTCTGCTGAATGTCCACTTCTCTATGGTACCACTTCTGAAAATTCAATTTTGGAGCAAGTTCTGTGAGCCAGGTGAGCATCTATAGAACCAGGAGGCCCACTGCAGGAAAAGTGTGTTTAAGGTGGGGTCAGCCCTCTGTGCTCTGGGGAGTAGAGCCCCTAACCCTGTGGACTAAGTACTTTGAAGAATAGAGCAGGCCTCAGACAGCTTTTAAGTGCTTAGGAGAAGACATTTTCTCTGACTGCAGGTTTTCATAAGTCAAAGGCCAGAAAAAAGATCACATGGCTAAGGAGGAATTTGGAAATGACCGAGGAAGAGGATTTCCCCTAGCAAGCTATCTTCTGGTTGAATCATGAAAAGGATTATTTCTCCTCATTATAGGGAATCTTGCTGTTTCAAAGACCTTTTTTCATGGTGCCTTTATTTTAAGGGAAACTAAGGTGAGGAAGTAGCTCTTGATTTATGACTCAAAGATTTGGGGGCCTGAGGTAGAACTCGGTGTTGCCGGCAGAGGGAGCTTGGAGGGCTGAAGCGAACACACATATATATACCTCACTGGCTGGGCTGCGCCTCGGGACGGGTTGCAGTACCAGCCACAACCACCAGATGGAGAAAGAGGCCCGTAGATAAACCAGGTGGCGCGTCCTTTTGTGTACCATCTGCTGCTGTTTCACAGCCCCGGTCCCTCTCGTCCAGCCATGACCTCTTCATGCCATGAATAAATCTCTTAAGGACAAATTGGTTGCACTTGAGAATCCTGAACGGAGAATTCAGCCAGAACATTGTTGCCTAGACCAGCTTTCCATGCTGTAGGGACGACCCCTTAATGCCGTCACCATCTGAGGACGCCTCCCTTTCTTCACTTTTAGGAACTTCCTCAGTGTAGAAATTTCTTGAGATTTCCAAGAGAACTCCCACTATTTTCCTCATTTTGATTTCTGGTACCTTGTTCCTTAAGTTAAATTTATATTTAAATGTGTCCTATTCTACAAAGCACGTCAAAGGGTCCTACACAAATGGTTTAGGAGGAGAACATGACTGAATTGCAATCCTTTCAGACCTTGGGGCATCTCCTGGGGCAGGAGAGCACACCGAACCTTCCTTCTCCCTCCCAGCTTCCTTTTGCTGTCTATCTCTTAACCAGGCCCCTCTCAGGATGCCCTGACTTCCCCCAACCTTCTCTCACTGTTCTTAAGCCCAGATGGCAGTCAGCTGGCCTTCTCTCTGAGGCCTCAGTCTTGGGTAGATGAGAAGGTATTTGTGGGACTGTCAGTCAGACACCAGTAGGGATACTTCTTCTATTTTTAAGTTTTCTAAAAATGACAGGATTGTAGATCTCCTGAAAATGGATTTTCGTCATGGTCCAGTCCTCTTTGGACTTTTTCTTCCTGACTACACCCAGAATCAGGCCTGAGGCCTAAGTCTTCACTCCTCAGCCTGGACTTCTGCTCCCCCTGGAGAAGCCCTTCCCAACAGGGCAGACAATACGTAACTTTAGTTCTTGCAACAATCTTCCCAGGCCCTCTCCCCTGGGAAAGTCCAGTTTGAGCCCCAGATTTACTCAAGGGCTGTCCTGGGCAGCCAGCGTTCATTGTAAGTTCCCTCTTTGGAAAGTGGTGTGTGGGTGTTCAGTTCTGTGTCTGGTGACTATGGACAGACGGTAACTCTCCTGTGATCTGTGGTAGCTACGAGGCAGCTCTGGAACGTAATGAGCTGTTAGGTTTGAACCGTGAAGAAAACTGTGTTTTGAGTTTAGCTGAGATTTAAAAAAAAAAAAAAAAGTTCATCAAGTGACTGTTAATGTAAACCTGGTTATTAAAATAACTGTAAAATTACAGATGTGGTTGTCCAGGCTTCTTCTGTGTGTGGCTTGTCATTTCACCTGAAGTGTTAACATTGCCCAACGAGGCGGAAATGGCTAGTAAGGAGCAGAGCTGATATAAACAGTAATCCTGAAAAATTGGGGAGTGAAGTTACAGGGGAGGGACCCTATCTTTTAAGCTGAGGTTGAGTTTTTGTTTTGATGTCAGAGTTTGAGGGCCACAATTGAAACTTTGGGGAATGACAAATTTTTTTTCTGTGGGTTACTGGTTTTAGCATTAGTGTAAAAGGTATTGCCATTTGGGATAAATCTAGAATCCAGAACAAATGCTGAAAGGTTTATTTTCAGTCAACCCCTTAAAGCACTTTGTCTGCTTCTCCCTGAGAGTGTGGACTCTGAGGAAACGCAAGCTCAGCATTTTCTGAACTATGCTCTTTAAAAAATGGGCGCCAAGGAATCCAGTGAATGTTGGGAAGGATATTCACTATCTACTCCTGAGAGATGTCCAGTTAATATCATCAAGTTAAAGGCTCTGAGAAATCCTATCTATGCCTTTCAAAATGTGTCCAATTCAAGGTTTTCTACTTAAGTTTGAATAGTGAACCTTTTAGTCCTACATGGTCTTTTATATTCCACCAGACCTGAATACTAAACTTTCTTTGATTTAATCCAACTTATGTAGGATATTTCTCACTGCAAACATTAGGCTAGTGTGTGCAAAGAAGAATTCTTCAAGAGTATTTAAAATCTGGTATAAACACAAAGTTCAGGGATGGACTTGGATAGAGTCATGCATAGCTGGATCTAGAATGTTGTTTCTCTCCATCTCCACCCAGCTTAGGACAGTTCTTTCATGTACGAGAAGAGCTGGTCAGCAGCATCTCCAGGTCTTCATTTTACCTGCTGTGCAACTTCAGAATAAGGAGAGAAATTCCCTCAGTGCTGCCAGCCAGAGGCTGATCCTGATTGGTTGGCCTTGGGTCATGTGCTCACCACTGGATTGGTTACTGTGGCCATGAGGCTGGCACTAATTGGCCACAGCTGGTCCCGAGCCCAGCCTCTGAGCCACAGGGACCCTGTGGACTCTCAATTTCCCTAGGAAACCCAATATGTTTCTTTTAAGAGGGGATGGGTGTTGGGCAGGCAAAACCAGCAGATGCCACAGCACCAGTCCTAGAAGCCTGCTGGGTATGAGTGTTCTGCTGGGTGTCTGTGTGCAGGTGGGACAGGTGGGGAAGGGAATGGAGAGGGCAGTCATTTCTGAGTAATTGCTTTTATGTGTGATAAACATGGTCCATCTTGGTTCAGTAGAACGATATCAGTACAGCAGCACAGATTGATGAGGATTGTTGACACACAGCTCAGAAGCCCTATCAAAAGCTGCTTTGAGCACATAAGAATTGTAGTTTGAGGATCAAGACGTGATGATTAAGAAGCTTTTACCATAGTTCCATTTTGTGGCTCAAGATCGACAAAACCCCCCTCCTGCTCACTAGCAAGGCAGCAAGCTCACTCTGCTTCGGGTTTAAGTGTGTTTAAGGGCATGATCGAAGCTTACAATGAACTAAGCTTGCAGGGCTGTAAAAGTGATGAAGCAATTTTTTCAAAAAACAAAGTGAAACATATATGATGACTACATCCCCCACCTCTGCAGGCAGGAGGGTTTCAGGGCTGAGTTACCTCTGACAAGATGGGGGATGAGAACACTAAATAGAAGAACTAGGCTCCTCTGGTTTCAAAGAACTTTCTGGAATCAGCTCTGCTACCATCAAACCTTTCCAAAGGGGGCACCAGTCATGAGCAGGAAACAGATGAAAGGGCCAAAGCAAACTGCAAAAATGAGAACACACACTGAAGATGGCACTCCAGGATGACAAGTCCCACATCCTGTCCTGTGTGCCACTGGCTGCTGAAAACACGACAGGACACATAACACAACTAGACAATGGGGCCTCTGCATGCAGGATGTCAGAGCCCAAGACTTACAAGCACTTACTTGTTTCAGGACAAAGCGAGCAGCACTGGCCTGCTGCTGCTAAGCTATGGGTGTGAGAGATAGCCTGAGGGTCTATTCTCTCCTAAGGCAGAATTTGGTTCCAGCTGGTGAGGTCAGAGCTGCTGTTACTTTCCTGTCCCAGATCATGGACCTTGGAACATCCACCTGTTGCTCTGGTATCTGGAACAGGACAGGAAACAGATGAGGGGTGGGAGGCAGAGTGTGTGGGTTGCCGTGGACTTGAGGTCAAAGTGAAGAGCAAAATCTGGAACAATGGGCTATGCTCTCGCAGTGTGAGTGTTAGATGGGGCGGGGGTGCTAGTTGCTGTGTGTGGATCAGTTTAATTGGGCTGCACCCTTTGGTTACAGAATATCACCTTGAATACCAGCTCGTCTCTGGTGATGGACATTCATCACGGCAAGAATGGAAGTGAGAACAGGTGATCCCGTATGCCCACCGCCCTGCCTTGAAGGAAGACAATTCTTAGACACACAGCTGACAAAGAAGGGCCACTGGCTTACTGTATACAGAAGACATTTAATACATGCAGGCACATGTACATTATGTATATATATGTATTAGCTACAGCTTAATAGAAGATGCCTTTTCCATCCAAGGGCTGCCTGTTCACAACACAGATAACTGAAGTTTGGGTTTTTGACATCAATGTTTTAATAACAGCCAGACATGCCGAGTGTGTAAGGACAGTAATCACAGGTAGACAGAGTACAAAAAGGGTTTTGTGGAGACAGTGCAGGGACGCCTTTACTGAAACAAATTCAGGAATGCTTCTAATGCCTGTTTATTCAGCTTTTGAAGAAGTAAAGCGTCGGCATGCTGCATCCGCCAAGAGCAGCAGTGCCTGTCCCTGCTAGCTCTACTGCCATGCTTGCTCTCTACTGATTTGCTCATCCATCTGATCTAGAAAAGCTATGATGATATAAAGTCTGGTCATTTCTGGTTAAGACTTTCCTGCAGGAAGAAGCCTGACCACTAGTGAATCAAACTGCCCTAGTAGATGGAGCCATGCCCTGTGCTGCTTGTCATCCATTCCTGCCCTGGCTATGTTATATCCTCAGCCCGCATCAGCGCTGCCATCAAAGGGTGTTAGCCATTGGAAGGCATTTCCCTCCTGCATTTCCTTCGCTGTGGTGAGGGTGGCGGCATGGATGCAAGTGTATTTCAACCAGATGCTTCTGGTCTCCCGGACCTATTCAGATTCTTATGCTCTATACCAGCGAGGGTGGAAGCTGGTGGGAGACAAGGATTTCAGGAACCCCAAACCAAAGAATGCAGGAGTCACCGTTTTCTTTAAAATTCTCAGCCCCTGAGTCTGAGATAAGACATGTTCCATGGATAGCATCCTAATTTTCAGCCATTATGGAATAAAACCATAGGATCTGATTTTTTTTTGTGTGTGGGACCCTCACCAGTGGCCAGGGATCGAACTGGCACTACAGAGGCTGCGGGCAGCCTCACAACCCAGCGCTCAACCGCTGCGCCACCAGGGGAAGCCCCATAAGATCTGATTTTGATAGTTAACAGTCACGGTAACAGTTTTGGCAAGCTTATTTTTTGGAAAAGTTTTTTGTCCTGATGTTCAAAATGGTGGTGGCAGGAGGTGGTGGTATCTTTGGTTGTTCTGCATGAATACATTCAATGCTTTCTCTTTTTTTTTAACTAGAAACAGATGGAGGTGGGGTTTTTTTAACCTGCTTAGGGTGGAAGCCCACCTTACCTCTCTAAGGCTGTGCCTTCCAGTCAGGGGGCCCAGGGTTGCTGAAGTATAAATGTCTTCAGCACAGAAGCAGCCCACTGGAAATAAAATCTAGGCATTCAAACTACAGACAGCATATAAATAATACAATTTATGAATTGGGTAGACGTGAAATGGCACAGATGATGAGGGCCTTCCAGCTTGGGGTGGGGGGTCTACTTACACCCCTGCCCTTGGCTGTGTGTTTCTCAGACTCTTCCCCTTGGGATCATATGTACAAGGTCAAGAGGAGGAGGCAGGTGACCGGGTCAGCGCACCTCAGGGCTGGAAGCAAAACTAACGAGAGATGAAAGCTGTTGAACAGCCCTTGACAGGCTGCTTTCCCACATGGACCAGGGTCTGATTGTCCTAGAGTCACTCTTTTCAGTATATCCTCTCTTGTGAAATTGAGTCCATGCAAGCACTTGAGAGTTTATGTTTAGAGAAAAAATAGCCTAGGTAACGTGTGGGAAATACAGAGAAATGGAGACAAACAGAACGAAAGAGCTGGTTTTTAATTCTTAACAAAAGGATGGTTGCTTGTAAAGTAGAGGCACTTTGGACAACTCTGCTGGAAATTCTGGGCACATTAGTACCATGAGGAGAAAAGCCCACATGCCTGGTTCAAGTTCAGCACTGGCTTTCTGCACAACCTTGGTTGCCCTAGTGTCACTTCCCTCCTGCAAAAGGCCTGTGTCAAAAATGGGCATATGTTCTGGTAACTTTTCCACCTGTGTTTCCCTGGTTTCCTAAGTGGGCACCAGTCTGCTTGTCCTTGTTGCCAGCTGACTGCCATCTTGGTGAGACCCTTGGTTCTCCATAAGTAAAGACAAAATGAGGGGATCTGAGTGGCCAGGAAGTGAAAATAATCCCCTCCAACCCTATTCACCTATTGCCTCTGCCCCATGGCATCTGTGGGTTACCAACTCTACTTCTTCTGTCTCAGAAGAATGGAGTTACATCATATGCACATCTCACTTAAGGAAATTAAACTCTGGCAAATAACATACAAAGAAAATGAAAGAGTGAGATATGGATAATATTTTAAATAATCAGGCAGTTGTGACCCCCTCATTGCTATAAGCTGGGGGTCATGCCGTCACTGCTCCCGGATGGGGGCGCGTTCCACGGCCCTGAGATTAATCCTAGCCTAGGAAGCCATGTCCAACACTTCCATTGAACTGATATTAATCAAAATGAGGCTAAAAATAAAAGTAGGAGACAAAATCAGAACAAACCCAAACAATGACTTATTTCTTTATGGATAGGGGTGACTCACCACTGGGCTGTGCTTCATGATGAAAGAAGATTCTCCTTGTGAGTGATTTTTTTTCAGGGTAAATTTTACTGCCTTCCAAGTTTACCTCACATTCAACTTACAATATAATACCTGTGGAAGGTACACTGAGCTCGCCTACAAGGTAGATGTGTGTTTGATGTGACCATATTCTTATCTTCTCTGATAAAGCCCCCCAGGGAACATGCTAGAAGGTGGCAAGTGGCATGCTAGTAGATACTTAACTACTTACTGGGAGTGAGAGAAGAATGCCTTGGTTTGTAGCTTTGGCCAATTCCCTTTGTGTAAATTCTCCCCTGATTGTCAATTCCAGCTTTCCAACTTCACATCACTACAGGATACTGGAAAAGGCCAGCAGACACAAACCAACCTGGGGTATTGACCAAGGACACTCCTTGAAGCCCCTTGTATATCTCTGTTACGGCCGATCTGGCCTCATTCGTTTCTTTCCAAGTGAATTTCTTACTCCTCTTCACTTGGGCTTGGGGATTCTGGTCTCTGTGACAATTTCTAGACCTGAAGAACTATAAATCAGCCCAGTCACCTCGTTAGATCACCCACCTATGTCCATTTGTCACAGTGTAATTTGAAGGCATGGAAAAATAAATCTACATTCAAATATTCTTTTAAAAATAAAAATAAAGGCTGTTTAAAAGAACAATGTTAGCAGTAAGAAGGCAGAGGAGCATGTGTAGTGCAACCATCTCATTGCAGATGACTAAGCTGAAGCAGATAAAGAGGTTAGTTAAGTGACTTGCCCAAGGTCACACAGTTAGTAGTAAAACAAGATCCCAGGAGTGCAGGGACCTTCTTCACTGCGTCACGACACCTCCTTCCAAAGGTGCTCATTTACATCTTCTAAGGTGTGTAGGGAATGGAGAGGTGAGAACTATGGTCACTTCTTCCTGATGCAGAGATCAGAAGTTCCTGGTCTGAGGGCAGAAAGTGTTCAAGGAGATGATACTGAGGACTTCACAGGGTACTATTCTGTCCATCCTCTTCTTGTGGGTCTTTGGTTTGTTCCAAGGCTAGATTTGCTTGTCTTTTATTAAAGTCCCTTTTTACTCTTGAAAGAAAAAGAAAAGGGAAATTTATTCATTGAAATGAAGAAAGGATTTAAGCCCTTGAAGTGATAGCATTAAACCCAACAATTTATAAGGAGGCCTGAATCAGAGGAGCTTAGAAACATCATTGATTTAAGGGCCAATGTTCCAATTCTTCTGTCCTTCCCATAATCAGAAAGCTGATGCTAAACTAATTTACCTATTGGAATGTTTGAGATTTCTTACAATAAAAAAAGGTTTCTGAGATTTCCAAATTTTCTATTATGGATGGGCATCATTTTTGTAATGAGAAAGAAGATTTTCAAGTATATAAAGGCTCTGCAGGGCCTCCCCGGTGGCGCAGTGGTTGAGCGCTGGGTTGCGAAGCTGCCCGTGGCCTCTGCGGCGCCGGTTCGATCCCCGGCTGCTCCCTGGCCACCGGAGGAGGGTCCCGCATGGCGCGCAGACCTCTCCTGCCGCCCGCTGCTCCCCTCAGCAGTGTACTTCGGTCCTTCTGCCTGCTCTGCTCCCTGCTCTGGCTCTGGTGAATTCTCTCACCCTCCCACGCTTCTGACTGTACCCAGTGTATGTATAAACAAAACAAACAAATAAATAAATAAATAAATAAAAAAAACAAAAAAAAAAAAAAAATAAAAAAAAAATAAAGGCTCTGCAAGTAAATTCTGGCTGAACAACCCACCAGGGGCTGGGCCACTCTCCAGGAATGACTTACTTTTCTCTGTTGAAAATGATGAACTCCTTCTGGACAGATTCCAGATGCTTTTGAAGAAGGCACATCTTCCAGGTGACCATTGGGGGGAAAGGAGGTGTAGTTAGCAAGCAAGAGAGAATCCTCTAATAGCCAATGACCTACTGAGTGTCTATTGACTGCAAGCCCTGGTATGTCCTCAGGATGGGTGCTACTGACAGTCCATGGCAGGAAGGAGGCCCTACCCAGGATGACAGGAGCAAGTGAAGACACAGCAAAAGAACCCAACACCTCCACACTCTGCTCCCCACAATGAGCCAGCAAGGAAGAACTACCTGCCTTATACTTCATGAATTTGATTCCTTTCAACCACTCACCCCAAGAAGAAACCATGGCTTTGAGCTGAGTGGAGACAAGGATTGATTTAGCTGGTTCCCTCCTTGCTTCTCACCTCCTGGCCCCCGTGTGAAAGGTTGGCAGTTCTAGTTGGATTTCACGAATGAACTAGTAACATCTTCCATGCTGAACTTGGATAGAAAGCTCTCCTCAACACCTGAGCTGGGGTGGCTTAACTGTACTTAAGCGGCGGTGAACCCCATGTTTATTGTGGCTTTCTCTCACACACATACAAAATACTGACTTTGAATTCACTCACTTTCAACATCTGTTGATGACTGTTCACCTGAGTGAGAAAATTTAGCCTCAAAAAAATATCAGGTCCAGGAAAGTGCCAGACCCAGAGCAAATGCTCTAATAGTCTGTCACAAAATACTTCCAAAGTATAGCTGATGAAAACATTCTCCTCTGAGAATAAAATAATTAAATAATTAATTAATTAAATAATTACTGGAGAGTTTGCTTTCTGCCCCAGACAAATGCTTAAGTTGACAGGAAAGGAAACTATAAAAAAAGGAACTATCAGAGAAGGGAGAAGGGGAAAAAAAGAGGAAAAGCAGGAAGACTCTGCTATACCTCATACTTCTCAAAATGGGGTGTTTGTAACCCAGAGGGTCCCAGTGTCAGTAATGGAGAGCAGGGGGTACTGGGGTAAACATTCTGCTAGAGTCTTAAACCAACTTTACTCCAAGATTCGAGAAAATATCTTAACATCAAAATATACTCACTATATAAATATATAAACATAATAAAATATTTTAATATATATGCTTATGTTTTATATACATATGTGATGTATTATACTTGATTATGTAGTTATTTACATACTATTATACATATATAAATAACATAGTTTATATGTATATGTTTATAACAGACAACATGTATAAAGACAAAATATATGTATATAAACATGTTCAATGCTTGATAAAATATAATGGAAAATATCATTAATATTTTCAAAATTTTAACACTAAAATCAAGTTTATAGTCAAATAAAATAAAATCCACATTTTCCCCCTTTCTCCTATAATTCTGTTTTATTTAAACACAGGCAGAGAAAGGATACTCGGGAGTTTATGACTTGGCACTGCAGACTCTTTGAGTCCTGCTCCTGGCCCTTGAAGGGGTCCCGTTCACAGGACAGGTTTGCATATCTTTCCTGTGCTTTTGGTGGAAAATTTTAGAAGTTCAGCTACATGGGAGGGGAAAGAGGAGTAGCCAAAAAGGAAACATGAGTGAAAGGAGTGCGTGTGTGCAGGCTCGGGGTAGAGGTGGGGAGAGGATGTGGCAGAATGGAGGGGCAAATGTATCTTATGTGACTGAGAAGGGATTGAAATGTGGCAAAAATCCTAAAACTTCCTCCCCAGGGAACAGCAGAGCAATCTGATTAAGCTAGTGTAAACGGAGGTGTGCTGGAAAGATTTGGAGCAGATAGAAATCCCAGCAGGCAAAAAGTCAGGACTGAGGCCCTTTGCCCCAACAGCAGACAGACCAGGTGGTGCACCCGCCATCTTGGTTCTATACCTTACAGATGTGAGCAGAGAGGGAGAAAGCAGAGAATATTTTGGAAGCTAAGAAAGAGCAGAGGCAGATCTCATGAAAATGAACAAGAACCACGGAAAGGAAAAGACTTAAGAACTCAGAGGAGTGGAGATGTAGACGCAGCAACAGCCAAAACATTTGCCAGGTGCTGTTAACATGTCCTGAAGTGACACCAGTGTTACCACCGTTTCACACACAAGGGAGCTAAGTCACAGGGGAAAGGAAGCTCTTAGTGCTTGTACTCTTTATAGTCACATCCTGAATTCTAGAACAGTGGATCTCAACTTAAGCTGCATATTTAGAGTCAGTCACCGGAAGAATTTTTAAAATACCCCCAGATTTAGATGCAATTGGTCCTGGGTGGGACCCAGACACCAGTCTTTTTTAAAAGCTCCCCAGATGGTTCCAGGATGACACTAAGTTTGGGAACGACTCTGCAGAGACCTAGAGGAGGAGGGGCCCATGGGGTGACAGGGTGATGAGCGCTCAGCATCTCAGAAACCCACACCTCAGTTGACAGCTAATGCACCACAGTCAGGGCGCTAAACGCCCGCTGACATCATCTTGTTTCCTTGCTAGGTCAATTGTAGGATGAAATGCCTATCACTACTCCTATACTTTATTTTTTTTAAGATTTATTTTTATTTATTTATGCATCCAAGAAATGGGGTGTAGGTCAGAGGTGCTGGTAGGGGGGCAAGAGAATTCATCAGAGACAGAGTGGGGAACAGAACAGGCAGATTGACTGAAATACACTACTGTGGGGAGCAGCGGGTGAGACAGGAGAGGTCTGCTGCGCCATGTGGGTAGTTCCCTGGCAGGGGACCGAACTCAGGCTGCGGTGGCTAGTGATAGCTTGATAGCATTGAGACTTTAATTCCTGCACCACCAGGGAGGCCCTACTCCTCTATTTTATATAAAGGAATTAATGCTTACACAGGTTATATGACTAAAGCATGAAATCATAACATTTTAGACAATCAGGAAAGTAAGTAACCTCTATAAACACCACACCTTATCAAGGCAAGAACGCACAGGAGATGGCAGCTCTCAGTGGAGAGGAGGGAAGTACACTGTCTAATTGATATTTTAAAATCTCTCAACGGTCAACTCTCCCTTCGCTCCTGCCTTGGGTATGTGAGCAGTGACTGTAGAACGGGACCAGCATTGCAGATTGTGATATACTCTGTCTTCTAACAGGCCCATCTGAACTTTTTCCCATCTCGTAAGTGTGGGGCTTTCCAAGCCCCCCTGGTTCAACTCACTACTCCAGGTCCTCACCTGGAGACACCACAGATCCTTCTGACTGTGGGTGAGAGGAGCCCATCACAAGGTAAGAAGGAGAAAATGCCCTTTTCTTTACAGTTGTAAGAACATAAAGGTCTGTATTACTGCAGTGGAAATAGATGATGGCACACATTTCTAAAAAAAATCTCTTGTAGGGAGGCCTCCCTGGTGGCATATGTGTTAAGTCTCAGCACTATTACCTCTGCAGCCTGAGTTCGATCCCTGACTAGGGCCCCAACCCACATGGCACAGCAGACCTCTCCTGTCTCGCTCACTGCTCTCCTTGGCAGTGTATTTCAGTAGATCTGCCTGTTCTGCTCCCCACTGACTCTGTCTCTGGTGAGTCCTCTCACCCCTGGGCACCTCTGGCCTTCACCCCAATTCTTCTATGCATAAATAATAAATCTTAAAAAAAAAAAAACCCTTGTAGGGCCTCCCTGGTGGTGCAGGCAGTTGGGCGCCGCACTGTGAGGCTGTGTGCAGCTTCTGCAGCTTGGGTTCAATCCCGGCCAGCCAGGGAGAATCCCACATGGTGAATCAGACCTCTCCTGTCTCGCCTGCTGCTCCCCCCAGCAGTGTATTTCGTCAGTCTGCCTGTTCTGTTCCCCACTCTGACTCTGGTGAATCCTCTCACCCTCCCATGCATCTGGCCTGTACCCCAGTTCTTGTTTAAATAAATAAATCTTTAAAAGAAAAATCCCTTGTAAACTTGGGCGTCAGAGATGTTGGCAAAGCCTGTGGAAGTGAATCCTACCTTCTAGCACATCTAGGATGCTGAATGGATCTCTTCGTTAATAATATGTTGGGCTGGCCAAATTCATATTTATATCCCTTTCCCCAAAGAGGCAAGTACCTTAAATTATTTTTGCACATTCAGAAAGACATCAGAGGCAAAAAGGTAAAAAAGGTAAAAAAAGTAAAAAAGAAAAAAAGAAAACAGCTCTACTAGACTTCTTATTTAACAAAGCGATTGGGAGCCCACTCATTTCAATGTCTATGAATGAGCACTGGCCATATGCCTGGCCATATGTGTTGTATAAAAATACACAAAAAATTTATGCCCCCAGATTTATTCCCTAAGAATTAAATAGCAAACAGCTTGACATGCTTGGTTAGGTATTGTCAGAAACATAAATTCATTATGCAGATGGGAGTTTGAAGAGAGAATAATTTCCTCTATGAATTTTCTAACCCATTCATAAATATGGCTGTCTCTCTCTCTGTCTCTATAAATATATCTCCATCAATTTTGTTTGAAAATATTATATTTGAGTTTTTCCTCATACTCAAAATAGGCAATTAAGGATTATCCCCCTTAATAAAGCTTTTTAGAACACACACACACATACACACAACCCAAACAACTCTCTCTCTCTCTCATCTCTCTACAAAATGATTTAACCAAAAGGACTGACTGCATAAACCATCAGGTCCATAGAATATTTAACGTACATCTTTAAATGGAAATAATGATTCTATTACTACAATTAAGTAGGATTAAAAATGCTAAAAACTGTCCATTTTAATGAAGTACCAAGTGGAAAAATGGACGCACACATGGGGGTTGACTCAGTGGGCTCCCTGGGAAAGCTCTCTCCCCCCAGGAAACAGGGGTAACAGTTGAATATCATGAGACAGTGTGATGCTACAGTACTGACCACTGGCCTCTTTTCCAGGCCTGTGACCTGACTGAATTTCCTTGCCAACACTTGGGTCTTTCCTACCATGGGACCCTGTGTGGTCATAGATCAGGGGGACCTTGAGCTGCAGAGGGACAGGACTGGAGACTTCCTGTAGCTGTCATGGCTACTACTACAGCAGACACTTGTTAGATTTGACTAGAGGAGTGAGCTGCCTTGTGAATCAGACTGGAGGGGTCTGGAACAAGCAGTGACTCGGGCAGCTTCTCCTCAGTCCCAAGCTGCAGCTCTCTGGGGAACTGGCATCCTCAGGGTGATACCCCCACACTGAGTGTGTCCAGCAGCTTACCTGAGATGAATCACACTTCCGCATCTCCTCCTTCTTCTTTGCCAGACGCTTCTTTTTCTTGTGAAGTGGTTTGGACTCCAAGATCATTTCTTCAAGTTCAAAGGTGGGGTCACAATTCAGCCTCCCTTTCTGCAACAAAGACAGGCAGCTTGTTCTTCAGACCGTTTATGATTCTAAAAATATCCCAGACTGAACCCCACACTAGAGCTGGCCAAGGACAATGGGCCGGGATCCCCAATTTAATTTTAGATAAATTATCACCAGTGCTATTGTTCATGGTCTGAGATGTTAATTTTTTTGTTGTTGTTCAAACTCCCAACAAGCCCTCCATGAGTTAGGAAAGAAATCAAATGACAATTATTTTCCTGAATTTTCAGGTTTGGGTTTATGCTTCTCCAAGTGTGTTCTAACAATTCTGTAGTTCAGAATCACCCAGTTCTTTGCTCTGACTCCCAGTTTCCCAGGAAGCTCCCAAATTGGTGTTTGTCAACCCAAAACCCCATAGTTGCATTCCCACAAGCTCCCAGATGATTCAGATTCATGATGAATCAGACACCTGCTTTCACTTGAGGCAGCACCAACAGCTAGTCACATAAGAGATGCTGGGAAAGAAGCACCCTAAGTGCTGCCTGGACCCCAAAGTGTCAGCTGTCAAAGTGGCTCAAGCTGTTCCCTAGGACCTGGCCGGATGGCCAGGTAAGATCCTGCCCCAGCTTCCTATCGATCCCTGAGGTACTGACTCCCCAGCTGAGTGCCACCACCCTGCCTCCCATAGTGGTCACGTGGCACACTCACGCCTCTCCCACCCAAGTGCTCACCTAGGGTCTCACACTCCCACAGCTGGTACTTTGCTGGTTTGAGGAATAGCAGACTCTGCCTGATCTCTGCAGCCTCACTGGTCTGCCAAACTACACGCAACTGAATGTCTAAACTGAGGCTGTGAGCAGAGAAGGAGCCAGAACCCAGGGCCAGTGGTCTGCAGGGGCCCCACATGTGGCTGTCAGGTCTTCGTTTCCTGGGGACAGTTTCTCTGCTATTAGTCATTATGAATAAGTCTCTAATGAGAGAGCGTGGAATCTCCCCAGGCTCCCTAGTACTCGGGATTTTGCTTGGCACCAGAAGTTGCTGCTGAGGAAGCTAAATGTAGAGTCAGGCAAGGAGCCTCTCACCAGGACAGAAATCTTGGTAGGAGGGTATCTGCTGAAAACAGCAGGCAGACATTATGGCCAGATTAGCATAACCAGCTAGACCACCTTGACAGGAAGTTAAGGGTTAACAGGAAATAGAGATAGGATGTTTCCATCAGCAGCAACAGAGATAGGATGTTTCCATCAGCTGGGCCCCCTGGCAACAGCTCCTATTCACTGCCCCCGGGCTTGTGTCAGACCATTATGCATCCCCAGTCCACATCCCCCCACCACATTCCTCCATACATTCCTCCACAGACTTACCCACCTTCCCTGATCTGAGCCCCAATAAAAGCGAGACTTGCCATGGGAGAAGGTGTTACATCTCCTGAGCGAGATGTGGCTCCTCTGGGTGTCTCTCTCTCTCACTACTTGGACTTCGAGTTATTTTTCACTCTGTTCCATGCTGCTCCCAAGATTGCCACACCCCAGGCGACAATAGAAGGCCAGAGAAGAGGGGCGGATGATGAGAATAAATCCCTCACCCCAGTCCCAACAGTTCCCAATCCATTGCCTCAGAAACCATAGATACAAGTTTCTCCATCTCTGGAATCAGAGAAAATGTTTTATTTTGCAATGAGCAGATTCGTAGTAAAGTCTGTTGGTAGGACTAGGGCTCCTTCTGAGGAAAGCACGATGCCAGGGTGCTTAGGAACCGGAGCTCCAGGTCTGGGTTAGAACCCTGGCTTGGCCTCTTGCTGGTGGTGTGACCTCTGGGGACACACTTGCCCTGTGCGTGCCCCTTCCCTCACCTGTACACAGGCATTCGGGCTATGTAATAGCACCAGCGTGGTGCCAGGCAGGTATGTACTGGGCACACGGGGAACATGCCCCACCAGAGAGTGACTGGATTGTTAGGAATGACTCACGTTAGGGATGAAACCTGGAATGAGCCTTTTCTGCAAAACTGCATCCCAGTTGGTGTCGTTCATATACGGGAAGTTCTGAACGTGGGACAAGTGAGAAAACCGTTGGTCTGGATTAGGCTCCAGAAGCTGCCAATGGAATGAGAGTGTCAAGGTCAGTGGGAAGGTCAAAAGAGAGGGCAAAAACCCATACAAGTTCTCTCTAAATGTTGTCAAGTGTGGGGCCAAAGGAAGGAAGACCGTGACCCCCTTCCGAGCCTCCCAAACAGATAAGGCAGAGGCCTGTCTAGGATGAATCTTGAGTTGGCTTTTGCAATGTGCTGAGTGAAAAAGCCTTTTTTTTTTTTTTTTTACTGAGGCAAACCTATCTTTGATTCCTGATTCTCCTACTTGCCAACTATGGGTCTAACACAGGGTACTCATCTATTAAAAGGGATAATTGCCTATTTCATATGGTTGCAGCTTAGATAAATGAGCAAAATCAAATTATATATAAAGTGCCTAATAGTTGACCTGCTTTTATTAGGAATGAGAATTCACCAGTTTCTACAAATGAAATAGATCTCCCACTAAAAATTTTAGGTGCTTTTACAGCTAATAAAAATATATTGGGGTGACACAGATAAGAGGTAATGAAGATTACTGTTATAGTTCTGGGTTTTACTAACTGGGATTAAAGATTCCTTCCCCCTCCCCTAGGCACCCTAGAGCCAATATCAGCCCAATCCACTGGCTCCAATGATAAGTATCAGTTGCCCTTGGGAAACCTCCTTAAGGTCACAGCCTAGGGGCCTCAGGGTATAGTCTTGGGGTGAAGAGGGCTCTCTTGGAACTGAGGAAAATTTGTTGATGGGAAATGATCCCCTATTCTTCACCTTTGACCTCCCCAATGGCAGGATCCTATTGCAAAGCAGAGCAGTTCGCAGCAAAGACAAGAGACATGTGTTTGAATCCACAGCTCAGAAGTTGTTTCCTATGACCAGCCACACTCATGTAATTTTCTCCCAGAAAAAAAAAAAAAAAAAACAAAACCCAGTTCACCTCTTTGGGTTCCTCATTCTTTCTTCCACATACCCTTTAAAACACTATTGAGTTCCAAATCTTTCTATTCTTAATCTTTTGGGTGAACACAGGCACCTTAAAAATTGGATAAAAGCTATGAACCTTGTTTATTCAAATGCCAGATTTTAGCCCCTGCCACGTTCTGTGTTAGACCCTGAGCATACCGGGGTGAACAGGTGGACAGGCCCTGCGATGTGGCTTACGGAAATGATCCTTAACCCAAGCGCCGCATGCATGTAATGGAAGATTTCCAATTGGGAAAGTGCCAGGAAGGACAGACAATGCTGACTGAGCTGCAGCGAGGGAGGCTCGCCAAGGAGGTGATACTTGAGCGGGAGGTCCCAGGCAGCGCTTCTCAAGCTGTCTGTGTAGATGGGCCAGTTATTTTTCTTTGATTGTTCATTTGTTTGCATTTCTACCCCCATGGAGACTGACGTGGCATTGCTGTACATGGCTAGCATGCAACTCCACACTGTATGCAGCTTGTGATTTGAGTCTGACATCACCAAGTAAACTTAAACCCTGTTCATTAATATGAGTCCACCAACCATATGTTTAGAGGCATCAGTGATATCAAGTTGTTATAAAAGCTTTGCCCACACTTGTCATGGACCTATAGGAAAGAATTCATGGGCTTGAATCAGTCAGTGAATCACACTGAATAGTACTGATCTAAAGGAGGGAGCCTGGAGAACTGGGATGTGGCGATGTTCCAGACAAAGGAACTAGCATGTGTAAAGGCCCTGTGGTGAGGGAATACAAGTGTGAAGTGGGAGAGCTGGAGAAGAGAAATGAATGAGGCTCCAGAGCTAACTGACAACTTTATGCCAAACAAATTATCTTGATCTTTATCTTGAAACAGCAGGAAGACAATGAACTTTGTTTTGAACAGATTGCTATGGGGAAGGGGAGAACAGAACGGAATGTGTTAACATTTATAGGGGCAAACCAGTTATAAGACAAGACTTGATAACATTAGGATCATGGAGGTGTAGTGTGGACATGGAGAGAAGTGACAGAGTCAGATTCAGAAGATACTTAAAAGGCAAAATTATAGTACTTGGTGGTGTGGTGGTGATGTCTGGTATATGAATAATGATGATGAGTGGGGAGGCCAGTCATGGGTGTGGTGGTGATGTCTGGTATATGAATAATGATGATGAGTGGGGAGGCCAGTCATGGAATGAAAAAATCCAAGAAATAATGAAAGGTCAAGAACTCCTTTTTGAACATTGAGATTGAGATGGATTTGGGAGATCAAAAGTACAGGAGAGTTGCCTTAAACGAGTCATGTATTTGAAAGCTGTTAGCTACACACCCCACTCCGGACATGTCCATCATCACGACCTACTCCAGTCATGGCTTTTGACCTCAAGCCAGAGAGCACCCCTCTGTTTATCACCCCCTATTGTGATGAGGTCCTCCTTACCTTTTTAAGAAGTGACACCATCTCCTGGGACCAGGCAGCAGGGTAAGCCACAATAGCTGTCTCAAACATGTGTGCAATTTCCTTGCTGGAAGTACTGGAGCGAATGTGATATGGTCTCTTTGGGAAGAGAAAATGTCTTTATTTTTATTGGGTAAATGAAAAAAAAAAAAAAAAAAACATTGTGCAAATGTTTCCAAGCTCAATTTTCAACCAGTAAAAATCTCAGTATAGTTTTTAATCCTCCCAGATGAATGTCACGTTGCCATATGAATATATGGTCAGTTTTGCCAGACTTCCCACTTAAAAAAGTACCAGAAATCTAGTTGCTTATGAAATCGCAGAATTTTTAGAGTTGGTAATGTGCTGAGCCAAACAAAACTTTTCTGTGGGCTATATTCGTGAACTCTGAGATGCTAATTTGGAACTGTGTCGTAAAATAAACTATATCTCTTTACATAAACTTTTGAACAAGCAAAAGGAAGTGCCCCCCCCCCCCCTCCCCCCCCCCCCCCCCCCCCCCCCGCCTGACATAAACCCATTATCTAAGTGCTGATTATAAAGTCAGAGTCTTACTATATACCTCTTTCCACTTGTTGGAAGCACAATGAATTCATGCAGGACAGACATTTACCCAGAAAACTTGAAGCCAGGGTCCAATTGCTTTGAGGTTCTATAGAGTGGGGTAGCAAATTTATGAGGATGCAGAAGTAGTTTTACTTCTGAGAGAACCAGGTTTGTCTGTAGTTTTAACTTTGGGGAAAGAATCAAATGACATTGTTACATTTTTCAGAGTTATCCACTAGAGGGCAGCATTTACCTATATTAATTTCTTGATGGCCTAAGGAATTTTTTTTTCCCCCCTAGTATGTGATGATGTGCTTTTTTTTTTTTTTTCACGTGTCTTTTGACCATCTGTGTATCCTTGGAAAAGTGTATGAAGTATTCATATCTTCTGCTCATTTGTGATTGGGTTTATTGTTGAGTTCGATTCTTTATAAAGTAACTGATTTTTTTTAATGTAGCTCTGTATAAATCAGATTGAGGTCTATTTTCTTTCTTTTGTGTTTTTCCCTACACCCAACCATCCATTCACATACCCCATCTTCCTCCCTCTCCTATCCCTTCCACTGTTTTCCCCTACTTCCTCTGGAAACCATTATCTTCTTTCTGCTAAGTTCAAATTTTTATTCCTTCTACCACTTGTGTGTAATTGTTCTTGGGGTATATATATTCTGCAGATGAATGAAACTGTCTAAAACCTGTCTTTCACTTTTTGACTGATTTCACTCAACATAATCATCTCAAGAGCCATCCACTTTGTTCCAAATGCTATGTTTCACTTTTCTTCATGGCTGTATAATATTCCATTGAATATATGCTCCACAGTTTCTCTATTCATTAATCTGTTGAAGGATGCTTGGGTTGGTTCCATAATTTGACAACTGTAAACAATGCTGCTATGTACAGAGGTGTAGATAGATCTTCCATATTAGATTGTTCATGTTATTGAGATATTATCTTATAGCAGTATTACTGGGTCATATGGAATTTCCATTTTTGCTTTCTTGAGAAATCTCCTTACTGTTTTCCACAGGGGCTGCACCAGCTTGCATTCCCACCAACAGTGGATGACAGTGTCTTTTTTGCAGCAACCTTGCCAATATCTGTTAGCCCCATTCTTTTTGATATGGGCCATTCTCACAGGGGTGAGGTAGTATTTCAGTGTGGTTTTAATTTGCATTTCTCTTATAATAAATGATGTTGAACATTTTTTTCGTATGTCTATAGGCCATCTGAATGTCTTAAAGGAATTTTCAGCCCTGAGATTTTCTCTCCTTTATGTGAACTGTGAGCTACTACAGCCAAACATTATGTCATACTAACATTTTTTTCCATGGGACCTAGTTCCTAGTAAGTGTTCACTATATGTTTGTTGAATGAACAAAAACTTTCATGTTAGTTTAACCAACACTAGGACAGTAAAATATGGATATGCACATTTACCAAGGGTATGGTCCTTCTGAAATAATACTAATAAATATGAGCATAATGAGATAAATTGGGAGTAATGAAGAGTTTCATTTCCCTATCCCCCATGGTAAATAATTATTAAAAGGTAATATTACGTGATTCCATATTTGAAATTTAAGGCAAAAGAATCTGAGTGTTAAATCGAATCACTCAATTCCTTCATCTAGAAGATGAAGCTACGTCATCTGTAAATTGAGCCACCTCATGAGATTATAAGGAAATTAAAGACATAATACATATTAAATTTTCAATAGGATGGTTAATAAGTATTAGACATAGTGCAGGAGATGTATTTTATATGATTGACACAGGGTAAAAAGGGTGAATATAAAGGTGGATAGTGAACAAGAAGATGTATACATTATACCAGGAAGCACTATGCATTGACTCCATAAAGGGGAGGCTGGCCAAACTTTATATATGAAGTCACTCACATATTTTGTCCTTCAAAATGGAATTAAGGACCTTGGTCAGTTCACGTGTCTCAGTGATGTTGTAGTGCAGGCAGCCCCGGGGCCAGCACCCTCACCGTTTCCTGGTTCTCTGGTTGTGTGCTGGGCAAGGCCACTGTTGGTCAGTTCAGTGATTCCATCTGAGTCCACTTTGAGTTGGCAGGTTTGGTAAACTTCCAGGGTTATACGTGTATGCACATGTATTTTAATTTTTAATATTTTCCTTCAACTTGCGACAGCTTCTATACCTACTGCTTCTTGACATCTAAAACTAGGAAATGATCTTACAAACTTCAATCAATTCATTTATGAGGCCACAATCCATTTTTTTCATTTACTTTAGAAGGCCGGATGATTAAATATATTTAAAAATCCTCATGATCTGTGGACTTACTTAAAATAACTAAATCGTCTTTGACTTATATAACTTCATTTTCTATTTCTAAATTTAAAAATCCATGTTCATTCATCAACTCCTAGAACTGTATACTTATTCATTCATTTATCAAATATTGATTGAATGCCTCCTCCAGCACGTGTTGGGCACTGGGGGATGATGAACAAGACAGACATGACCATTGCATTGTGGAACTTGTAGTTCACTTGGGACTCTCTGGATGCTCAGAGAACTGTACATGCACATGTGATAAAGGCAACACTGCAGCATGTGATGGCAATATATTGAACAACCTCAGACAGCATATGCATAAAGAGTTACATGATAAGTAATAAACAGAGTGTAAAAGGTAAAATGTTAGATGGGAGAAAACAAGCTGTGGTGATTATAGTCTTAACAGCATGAAAGTAGAAGAATGGTAGTGGAGGGTGGACAGTTGGGGTAATACTGCATCTGTACCTATCCTAAGCTAACCTGATGGATCACAGAGAACTAGAACAAACATGGACCTGCCTTTGTAACACAATGACAGCTGGGGGACAGAGAGGACAGAGTGGGGTATGATCAAGGGCCACGTCCATCAAGACGCCATCAAGCTCAGGGTGACGAACACACTTTCAAGTACATTTCTCTTTGAGGCATGTATTTTTCTGTAAATAAGGATCTTTACGTGCAGGCCAAACTCTTATGTATCATCTTTTCCTTTGTACTTTAGCCGCATTGATACTTGTAGTTAAATGCTGGTATTTCATTTGTTCAGATTAGCTGTATTTTGAAACTTAATGAGACAGTCTAGTTAGTGATTCCTAGAAAGTGTCAGGATTGATTGGTGGTGACTCCTTCCTCCATTCAGTCAATTTGTTATGCACCTATTTAAAGTTGAGTACTGTGGATAATACCAAACTCTGGCAGATAAAGCTTCAGCTTTAATGAATTTGCAATTTAGTAATGCAGAAGAGATAAAAACATAAAAGTTGGTATCCCTGGAAAAACTTACAAGGGCAATATATTTACGAAGTGGATTTTATCCTAACAATAAAATAGTAGATAGAGTGAAAAAAGTCTTGACAAAAAGGTAAAGCATGATAGTATTTTTTGTTAAAACAATAAGTGTAATACACACACATGTATGAAAAGAGATGTGTTTATAAAGCACAGAAAAGATTTGGAAGGTTTGGAAGTGAAAACAGCAAATTGTTAATTCCGAAGGTGGATTGGATAGAGAAAGGAAAGTTTAATTTTTTTTTAAATTGGGAGTTTTCTTTGGCTTAGAAGAGAGGGTTGGGTTTTTTTCAGTAATTTTAAACTCAGAGGGGCCCTACGAAAGGTAAATTATCTGAAAATTTGGAAGAATATATATCACTTAACTGGAGTGATCCTAAAAACTTATTTGAAGAATAATTTTTTTCCTTTTTTTTTGTTTCCAATTGAGGTAATGTTGGTTTAACATTATTGTTTATATTTTGGAAGTACAAGATTGCCCCCTTCTGGTGTTGTTGCTGTAGCACATCCACCACCAAAGCATCCAAAGTCCACCACCATGGTCCATTGTGCTCCCCCCACTTTGTGCACACCCTTTCTTTTCCCTCCCTTTCCCTTCTCCTCCCCCTCCAGTGTCTCAGCTCTATAGTCAGCTTTCAAGGACTAGTTTTTGAGTTTGGCTTTATCTACCACCTTGTTTGGGTTCTCTCTATTCTACATGTAAGTGGTACCATCTGCTATTTTTCTTTCTCCTCACTTATTTCACTTAGCAGAATCACCTCCAGCTCCATCCATGTTACCGCAAATAGCAAGAGTTTATCTTTTTTGATTGCTGAGTCGTATTCCACCTCTTCTTGATGTACTCATGTGTTTGGGGGCACTTTGGTTGTTTGCATAGCTTGGTTATTATAAATAGTGAAACAATGAACATGGAGGCACTAGTTTCCAATTGAATTGGTGTATTCATGTTCTTTGATAGATACCTAGGCATTGAATCGCTGGGTGATAAGGTAGATTCATTTTTAATCTTTTGACAAACCTCCATACTGCCTTCCATAGGGGCTGGATCAGTTTACATTCCCACCAACAGTATAAAAGGCTTCTTTTTTCTCCACATCCTCACGGACACTTCTTGTTTCTCATCTTTTTTGATATGGCTCATTCTCACAGGAGTGAGGTGATGGTTTTGACTTGCATTTCCCTGATGATAAGTGATTAAGTGACAATGAACATTTTTTTCAATTGCTTGTTGGCCATCTGTATGTCTTCTTTTGAGAAGTGCTTATTTAGCAATTCTGCTGATTTTTCAATTTGGTTATTTGTTTTCTTTGTTGAGTTGTTTGAAATGTATGGTGTGCAAATATTTTTTTCCCATTCAGTTGGATTTCTTCTTGTCTTATTTATGTTTTCTTTTGCTGAGTAGCCTTTTGGTTTAATGTAGTTTCAATTGTTAATGTTCTCTTTTGTCTTCCTTGCTGTTGGAGACATACTGCAAATACATCACTGAAGCTTATGCTGTAAAGTGTTTTGCCTATGTTTCTTCTATGTGTTTTGTGGTTACATGTCTTATATCCAAGTCTTTTATTCATTTTGACTTATTTTTGTATATGATATGACATATTGTTCTAGCTTCATTCTTTTGCATGTAGCTGTCCAGTTTTCCCAACACAACCTATTAAGAGGCTTTCCTTGCTCTAATGTATATTCTTGGTTTCTTTGTTGTATATTAACTGTCCATATAGGCATGGGTTTATTTTGGGGCTCTCAATTCTATCCCATTGGTCTGTGTGTCTATTTTTGTTCCAGGGCCATGCTGCTTTAATTACTGTAGCTTTATAGTATAGTTTGATGTCTGAGAGTGTAAAACTGCCATTTTTTTCATCTTTCAGGTTTTTTTTTTTTTTTTTTTTTTGGTCAGGATTGCTTTGGCTCTCCAGTATTTTCTGTGGTTCCATATGAATTTCAGTGATGTTTGTTTTATTCCTTTAAAGAATGCCAGTGAGATTTTGATAGGGATTGCATTGAAGTTGTATAATACTTTGAGTAAGATGGTCATTTTGACTATGTTGATTTTTGAAGAATGATTTTTTTTTAAGAAGCCCAGGGGTTATCTTGGGAAATATCTTTATAGGCAAAGAAAGAAGAAGTAAAAAAAAAATAGTCCACAGGATGCTTTCAGAAGAGGAGGGACTCCAAAGAGGCCAAAGGGAGTCTGTGAAGGGTAAAGGCTCAGAACTGTTTAAATTGCAGCAAAGTCCAGAAGTTAACCTGGTGCTAAAGGGCAAGTAATGATAAGCTAAAGCATCTGTAATGGGGAGGGGAGGAGAGATGTTGGGAGCAGTGGCATTTCTGAAGCATGAATGATTGAATCAGTGCTCTAGGAAAAAAATGAATATAACAGTGTGGACACACCAGATGACAGGCTACTACCATAGAGGTAAAACACCATGGTAGGGAGAAAAATATTTTCTTAGCAAAATGCTTCCCAAGCATTTTTTTAGTTCAAGAAATGTTTCCTTTAAAAGGAAACTACTCTATTTGCCACTGAACCCAGAAATGACAGACAGGAATCCAGCAAGACAGGGCACGAATTGTGTTGTATTAATAATTCACACTTGCCTTGGGGAAGTGTGTGTGAGTTAGAGTCTTATACCATGACTGCAAAATTACTTTCTTTACACCAACATGTACATTTAATGAGGGGTATTGATTTTCCCTTGCTAGGAGTTTATAATCGATGTATTTTTCATTTAATTTTATCTACATAATTTAATGTTAACCCACATGCTTCGTCGCATATGTAGGAAAGTAAGTAATCTGTGGAGAAATCCCAAGGGAAGTTATCAGCATTACATGGCATAGCTGCTTTCACCTCTCAAATAAACTGCATGATTTCTAAAAATGGAAATTGCTCGAAGAGTACCCAAAGAGAAATGCACTTCTACTATACCCGGCCTCTTAGCAGCTCATATGCCGTCACTCCCAGCGACCACCAGTCCACAGCAAAGGAATAGCCTGCTTCTCTTCTGGAGTTGAACATTTCAGGTGCTGGAAACATTAAAAAATGAGGTCATTTTCTACTCCCTGAGACACCAGCAAATCTATTTTTCCCACATGTTCCTCTAAAAGCAAATTATCAGGTTAAAGGGTATAAACACTTCTGTGGATGTTTATCATCCAGTGCTAGATTGCTCACAGCAGGTAAAAATTTCTAAATTCTAAATCTCTCTGAGTAGACTCATTCTTTTTTTTTTAAAAAAAGATTTATTTATTTATGCATACAAGAGCTGGGGTGCAGGCCAGAGATGCGGGGGGGGGAGGGGTGGTGAGAAGATTCACCAGAGACAGAGTGAGGAACAGAACAGGCAGGTGTAGTGAAAAACACTGTGAGGGGAGCAGCAGGTGAGACAGGACAGTGGAGATTGCGCCATGTGGGTCACCTCCCTGGCCAAGGATCGAACTCGTGCTGCAGTGGCTGCGGATAGCTTCACAGTGCTGCATCTGAACCCCTTGTGCCACCAGGGAGGCCCCAGTAGATTCATTCTTAACTAACACACAATGGCATTTACAAGTTCATGGACAAGTCCTTCTCTTATTTATATTATGCACCTTTAAAAACTGGATCCTGTTAGGCTGCAAATGTGTGGCTGGTCCTGAAGTCAAGAAATCCTGAGAAGTTATTTTATGTCTTGATTCAGAAAGTTTGAGTACAGGACCTACATATATTTTATAGCTACAAATAATGCTCAGAATTTGTGGCAATGTACAGTGAATGGGCTTTCCACCTGAGTCATCTGGAACAGGTGAGAACAGCATTTGAGCCTTCCTGTAGAGGGGCAGCAAGGTGGGGTAAGGGAGTAGGAGGTTTTACTTCTATGCACTGACACTTTGCAACATAGCCCCCTGGATGGACTCCAAGGGAAGGCAGAGCCCCAGGCTGCAGAGAGCCCCCATTGCATGCTGGTTACACACATTCACATACCAGGAACATTCTACATACTCTTAATAGAAAATACCTGACTACTGAGGGGTGGAGCAGGAAGAATGAAGCGTGAAGGGCAGGGCTGCTGCTTTCTCACCATTACATTCCTAGTCTAGTATTGAACCTGGCATTTAGAGTCACTCAATAGAAATGTGTTGAATGAAAAATAGCAAATCCATTAAAACTTTTACGGTAGGGCCTCCCCGGTGGCGCAACGGTTGAGCGCTGGGTTGCAAAGCTGCCTGCAGCCTCTGCAGCCCCGGTTCGATCCCTGGCTGCTCCCCGGCCACCGGAGGAGGGTCCCGCATGGCGCGCAGACCTCTCCTGCCGCCCGCTGCTCCCCTCAGCAGTGTACTTTGGTCCTTCTGCCTGCTCTGCTCCCCGCTCTGGCTCTGGTGAATCCTCTCACCCTCCCGTGCTTCCGACTGTACCCAGTGTTTGTATGAATAAATAAATAAATCTTTAAAAAAAAAACTTTTATGGTAATGTTGCATTATAACATTCTGTAAGTTTCAGGTGTGTAGACTGCATGAAGTTCACCACTAAAAGTCCAGTTCCATCCTCTCTGTACCACTGACCACTTTACCCAATTTACTCTTCCCAAACCCCCATTTTCTCCTGGTAACTGCTAATTTGATCGTAGAGTCTTAAAGTGTTTTTTTTATTTTTTTCAGTTCATTCATTTATTTTGCTTCTCTTTGGACCACATATGAATATGAATGAAATTATATAGTATTTATCTTTCTCTGTCTGACTTATTTTACTAAATAGAATACCTTCTAGGTCCATCCATGTTGTTGCAAATGCATCTTTTTAATGGCTAAGTAGTATTCCACGGTGTGTGTGTGTGTGTGTGTGTGTGTGTGTGCGTGTGCGCGCGTGCGTGCACGTGTGTGTCACATCTTCTTATCTGTCCATGCTCATTTCTACTGTTTCCAACTCTTGGCTATGGTAAATAATGCTTCGATGAACGTGGGCAAATACCCAGAAGTGGGAAAATTGGATCTTATGAAATTTCTATTTTTAATTTTTTGAGGAATCTTCATATTGGTTTCCATATTGTCTGGACCAATTTACATTCCCACCAACAATGTACAAAGGCTCCCTTCTTTCCAATACTTGTTGAGTCTTATCTTTTGAGAATAGCATGATGAACTGATTTATCATGCAGTGGTTGCCATCATTACTTCTGGGTTCAAATCCTACTGTCACCATTTAGTGTAATTTTGAACAAGACTGTTGCCTGAGCTTAAGATTCTTCCTCAGCACAATCGGAATAATAAGAAGGCAATCTTTATAGAGGTGTGAAATTAAATGACCAAATGCAGCCAAAATCTCAGCATAGTGCCTGACACCTAGAAGTCACTAAAAAAAAATTGGCATTCTTCTAGAGGCAAACATCCATAACAACTAGAATTCTACCTCAGTCAACAGCTACACACACTTGAGTCAAGTCTCATAGGTGCTGGCCCTGGTGCTGACCCAGGTAAAGGAAATGGATGAGACCACGCAGGAAGACAGGGCTGCCCCGCCTAGTGCACTCAAGTTCCAAGTAAAAGTCTGTGGATGACATCCAGTCTAACAGGTAGTATGTGGATGTCTCCGTGCCCATGATTGACCTGCTGGAGCAGCAGTAAGAAAGCCTTGCTCCCTAATGAATTGGGCTTTCATGGATCACAGCCTCCTTTTGTAAGCCTCAACTTCCCAACCAATTCTAGAGATAATGGCCCTGATCCCAGCATCCCCCCAGACAGTATGGTGCAGACTTATTTTGCTTTCTCTTGTCAGTATCTCACAGCAAGTCATCTCAGGTGGCCCCAGGTGACAGACGTCTCACTTAGAAAAGTTGCAGAGACTGGAGGGATAAACAGACCATTGTGCTGAGAAAAATACCTAAAGGAATAAACATGACTCTAAATACTAAATATTCTGTCACTTTGTACCATCTCTGGAGCTGATGAGGGTATTCCATTTTCTTCCTCTTCAACTTTTTTTGGGGGCATGAAGTTCATTTATTCAACAGAAATTCACATTGTCCTGAGAATTTTGGTAGAACATTGATAAAACACACCGAGGCAACATACAAAAAGCATGATGGATGGGTAATTCTGATGGGTAATTCTTTGAATCCTCAATATGCTGAAAAATGCAGGGTAACACTGATGGTTTGGCCTCCCATCAGATGTCCTGCTCCTCAGAGGCAATACCACTGTCCTGATTTTTTATGTTAGAATTTTCTTGCCTTTCTAAAATATAGTCTGTATATGCCTTTCTAAGCAATACTTTTTTATTTTTTGTGACATTATTTTTCCCCATCCCTTGTGTCCTCTTTCCCCATTTCACCCCCATTTTTTAACCTCAGAGTCTTCAGATGTTATACAGTTGTCTGCTATGTCAATGTCCAGTATTTGTTTTTATAATTCTGACTTAATCTGTTGTACATAATTCTCTCAAATTCCCTCCATTTTGTTGAAAATGGCTGTATTTTCATCCATTTTATGGCTATATACTGCTCCATGGTGTGGACATACCACATCTTCTTGATCTGTCTGCCACTGGACATCTGGGCACTCAGCTTGTTTCTATAACTTGGACTATTGTAAACAGTGCCCCACTGTGGTACATATATGCACAATGGAAGACTACTCAGCTATAAAAGAGATGAAATCCTGCCATTTGAGAAAACACAGGTGGAACTGTAGCAGATGATGCTAAGCGAAATAAGTCAGAAGAAAGACAAATGAGGCCCCCTGGTGGCACAAGGGGTTAAGACGCAACCTATGAAGCAATCTGCAGCCTCTGCAGCACGAGTTCGATCCCTGGCCAGCCAGGGAGCAACCCACATGGCACAGCAGACCTTTCCTGACTTGCCCGCTGCTCTCCTAGCAGTGTACTTTGGTCAATCTGCCTGTTCTGCTCCCCACTCTGTCTCTGGTGAATCCTCTCACCCCCACACTTCTGGCCTGTACCCCAGCTCTTGTATGCATAAATGAATCTTTTAAAAAAAGAAAGACAAATAATGGATTATTTCACACATATGTGGAACATCAAAAAAACAAGAAAGGAACAGACAAAACAAAACCTAGAAATATGAGCTCAGAATTGAGGCTGACCTGGGAGGGGGCAGTTGGGGACAGAAGGAAAGGGGCCCAGTAGACTCTGGGGAAGGTTTATGGGAGTGTGGGTGGTGGGCGTGGTGTGGTAACATATACTTGAAGAAGTATGAACTTGCTACCTCTGAATCACAGAGTGCTGTAAACCAATGTTACTTCTTTAAAAAATGTTATGAAAAAAAGACCGTTTAAACAAAATCTGTGCCATAAAAGTGACATGCAGAATGTTGCTTTTTCTTGGTAAAGGTTGGGGATGTTTTACTTTGAGGCTGGTTTTTTTTTTTCCATCTCCTTTCTAAATATGACTGCTGTATTTGGTTTTCAACTCAATAAAAAATGTTTTATCCCCAAAACCTGAGAACTACTTTATCACCATACTTACAGTTTCTTCTCCTAAACTGAGAAAATAAAGATATACTGACTCCTAAAAAATAATAAACAAAAGAAAATCTGGAGGTAAGAACATCTTGCTAAAAAGAGTAAAAAGACTAATTAATGAGTTGGTGATGTTAGATAATATTTTTTTAGGTCAGGGATGCCTTAGAAGCAGTAGCAAACTGAAAAGCAGGAAATCCTATTTATAGCACATATAATACACCAAAAAATTAATACTATTCCTATTATATAAAAGCTAGAATTCTTTATATCACCAATAAGAAATATCAGATGGAAATCTGAGTGGAATGGAAATAGGAAACATGTACTAACACCTTAGTAGAAAATGGGCAGAAATCATGACCAGACAATTTACAAAAGTCAAAGAAATGCTATTTTCATATCACAATGAGGTATCACTTAAAATAATCTTTTTGGGAAGATTAGATATTTCTTTCATTATATTTATATATTTATTATTATATAAGATAATTTTTTATTGAGGTAACATTGTTACCTCATGACCCAGAAGTACAGGTTCTCACCACTCCAGATGTATGTGTCCACACCACACCCACCAAATCCATAATCCTTCAGCACAGCTCAGTGGGCCCCTCCCCATTTTGCTCCCCACATCCCACCCTTTCCTTTTGGTAGCCTCAAGTCTGCAGTCAGATTTCAAGAGTTTGCTTTTTGGTTTTGTCTGTTTCTTATTTATGCATACAAGAACTGGGGTATAGGCCAGAGGTGTGTGTGGGGGGGTGAGAGGATTCACCAGAGACAGCGTGGGGAGCAGAACAGGCAGATATATTGAAATACACTGCTGAGGGGAGCAGCGGGCGAGACAGGGAGGTATGCTGTGCCATGTGGGCAGCTCCCTGGCCAGGGATTGAACTCGTGCTGCAGAGGCTGCATGAGTGCTCTGCTTAACCCCTTGCACCACCAGGAAGGCCCAGCTTTGTTTTTTATATCCACATATGATTGAAATCATCTGGTATTTGCCTTTCTCCCTCTGATTTATTTTGCTTGGTATAATCCAGTTTCATCCATATTGTCAAAAATGACAAGATTCATCTTTTTATAGCTGAATACTATTCCATTGTTTATATAAACCACATCGTCTTTACCACTCATGCATCTGTGGACACTTAGGTTGTTTCCAGATCTTTGTTATTATAAACAATGCCATAATAAACATGGAAGTGTATATATCTCTTCAATTTAGTGTTATATTCTTTGGATAAATACCTAGGAATGGAATTGCTGGATCATATGGTAGATCTCATTTTGATATTTCTAGAAACCTCCATACTGTTTCTATAGGGGCTAGACCAGTTTACATGCCCCCCAACAGCCTATTTTCTTTTTCTTTTTTGAATGATTTTTCTTTTTACTTAATTGCTAGTTATACCCTACAGGAGCACCAAGCTGCAGGTGAAAGACAGCTAGATTTACCAAATTATTGGAAACGTGATTTTTAAAAGGAGAAAACAGACTTCTACCCATGACACTTCTTAGAAAGACCAAAGCAAAGACAAACCAAAAGCAAGGGAAAATTCTGGATTAAAAAAATAGATGATGAGAATTAGATATTTACATTTTCATGAAACAAGAAACACATCTCACACCTTTGGCTTACCTGAGTTGACTTACAACCATTTAAGAACCACAAATAAATTAAAAAAAAAATCTTTCCAGAAGAAGCTTGAGTTTCTAATTTCAGACAGTTTATTTTAAATCTAGACTTTTTCAATGATTAGCCATGTGATCCGGGGCAAATTACCTGGCTTCTTATTCTCGTTGTACAATAGTGGTAATTATAGTCTGCCCTATTGGGTTGTTGAGAAAAAAATAATGAGTAAATGAATATGAGACACTGAACACATCTTCCCATCACAGGCTTTCAATAAATGTGAGTCACTGTTAATTATGAGGGTGCTGATGGAGAGGTCAGAACATTGGCCAGATTCTAATCTCCTAGCTCTGTGTTGTGAAAAGACTAGAAATACCAATTTTGAGGAGAATTAAATTTTACGGATATTGTATTTAAAATCACTGGGGAGAGAGAATGTGGCTTCCCTTTACTCCTCTCACCATGGAAACCAAGACTAGAAAACCCAGATGCACATTTGCTGATTTGGCTCCAAGATAATAGCCCTTCCTGTGGGAGCCCAGAGCTGGGGGCAGACCCCTCACTACAAGCTGAATTATAGGTGTGCAGTATTTTAGAAGTGACAAAGGAGGTTTACCCTTTTCCCTTCACTGGTAATTGGAAGCCAGGAATTTTGCAGTTGTTCAAATACCATAAAAAAGAAGGTTCATTATTCCCCCCGAGATTTCTCTCTCTTGGAAAATGAGGTGGTCCTGCAGGCAGGGATTCTCTTTCACTAGTTCTCTTTGGCGACGAGAGAAAGAAAATGAAATATTAAAAGAAAGTGGCATTGTTCTTGGCCTTGATTTCAAGTTCAAAGCTTCTGTCTGTGACTGGTTCTGTCTATGCCCAGGCAGCGTGGCTGGCTTAACCACCAGTTCAGCCAGCGACGTCGCCTGCTAAGCCTCTCCCCGAGGTAAGGCAGAAGCGTGCACAGTTTTATTTTCTGCCCTCTGCTAACAACCACGCACTGCTAACCTCCATTTTTTTACAGGCCAGGGGGCTCCCTTAATCATCATTCAGTCTGTTGCTAATAACTTTTCATCCCTTTTGCTCACTAAAGCATTTACTTTAGATACTTTAAAATTCAGTCCTATGGATTTAAAAACTAACTTCATGTCTGATGTAAAGCTTCTCTACTCCAGGCTGGATTCAGCCACCCCAATATGGAGATGAAGACTGCTCTGGCTCCTAAGCACTCCTGCCCCTTTTCCTAGAAATTACCTGTTATTTTAGGACACTGGAAAGGAATAGAGGAAGCAGAGAGCTCCTTGAACCGATGCCTGCTTGGCCCCAGGGCCATTGCCCTTTGCCTGTTTCCAGCAGCTGCCTTGCTCAGGGTCTATGGCAGAGCTTCTGAACTCTGGCTGCATGGCAGAATTACTTAGGGAGCTGGGGCCTCCTTGGTGGTGCAAGGGGTTAAGATGCAGCACTAGGCCCAAAAATAGATGACTGGATCAAGAAGATGTGGTACATATACACCATGGAATATTACTCAGCAATCAAAAAAGATAAACACATGCAGTTTGCAGCAACATGGATGGAGCTAGAAGGGATCATGCTCAGCGAAATAAGTCAGAAAGAAAAAGAAAAATACTGGATGGTCTCACTCATAGCAGGAATTTAGAAAACCTAAATAAGAGACCAGGAAAAAGACTAATCAATACAAAGTAAAAATCAAAATTAACAAGCAACTATAAACCAGAGACACACTATGGGGGAGGGGGAGGGTAGGGAGGGACGTGGAAAGGAAGGACTAGAGTCAAAATAAGGGGTGGGGGTGCAATTGTATGGGGAATATAACAAAAACGAAAATGCATACATTGTGCAAAGATGAAAAAAGATGTAAGAATTATATAAAATAAAATATTTCAATTAAAAAAAAAAAAGGATGCAGCACTAGGAACTTATCCACAGCCATTGCAGCATGAGTTTGATCCTAGGCCAGGGAGCTACCCGCATGGTGCAGCAGACCTCTCCTGTCTCACCCACTGCTCCCCTCAGCCATGTATTTCAGTCAGTCTGCCTGTTCTGCTCCCCACTCTGTCTTTGGTGGATCCTCTCACCCCCCTCCCCTGCATTTCTGGCCTGCACCCCCTGCACCCCAGCTCTTGAATGCATAAATAAAACTTAAAAAAAGGAATCACTTAGGGAGCTTTTAAGCCACCTGACACCGGGGTGTAACCCCCAGATTCTGATAGATTTGGGCTCTATTGGGGCTGGTGGTGTCTCCAGTGAGCCATACTAATGGGTGCCTCCCTCCACACCTTCTTGCATCCCTACACACTGGAAGGGCTCTTGGGAAATCTGCCCTCCCAACAACCCCCCCCCCATGACTCCACATACACACACACACACACACACACACACACATAAACATGCAGACACTCAACACACATATATGTGCACTCATACTCACACTGTTGCATAGCTCTGTCTCCTGCAAAGATCCTCAGTAAGACTGGACTTCAAACTCCTCAACCCAGCATGGCTGCCTCAGGCTCTGCTCGCGGAGGGAGCTGCCAGCCAGGCAGTGAGTAGACACCCAGCTGAGAATGGAGCACCAGGCTCTCCTCCTCACAGCCCCCAGACTTAACTGACACTTCTCTTTGAGATCTGATTCAGTTGCCTGAGGAACCGGGCAGGGGAGGAAGGCCCTCTTCTGGAATGCCAGATGCCCCGAGGGGAGCGGTTCTCCTGTGTGTTTCTGGGGTTGAGTGGGAGGTGGAGCTGGCTCTACTGGAGGGGTCTACACAAAGAAGGCTGTCTCCAACCTCACCACTTAGACTGTCACCTGGTTTTTGAATGCTCACACAAATTGATGGGAGATGGATTACCAATTTTGGAAACTAACCCTGTCATTTATTCTCTGGGAAAAATTTGATTAAAATTTTGGCAAAACCCAGTCCTTCATCTTTAAAAAAGGAAATGTTATGGGATTGTTGTGATGAAACAAAAAACAAAAAATTATACTTGGAAGGCACCTTGGAATCTTCACAGCATGAAATGAAGTATCATGTACACAATGGTTGTAAGAGGACTCAGGCCACTTGTGAGTAGCCATGCTCTTTATTGCTGTCTTCGATCTCTGATTGATTCTATTTTTAAAGTCCCCTTTCTAGAAAGTAACTCCATGCCTGGAGACCTTGCTGTTTTGCTCGCAAGAATGACATCAAACAATTCCAGTATAGAGACAGCGAGGCTATAGTTTTTGAATGAATTCATGCTCTTCCTTAGGGAGTGGTAAAAGCTGTCCAAAATAACTCATCAGTTACTGTTTTCAAAATGTAATCAATGGCCCTTCCAATTGGGTGGTTGATCAATGGAAAATTCTGAGGCTCACCTCAGACCCACAGAACCAGACGGGGAGGACTTGGCATTTCTTAGCTGCAACTAATCAGACCTCTAATAAGTGGTGTCTGTAGGAAAGGAAAACAAAAGCCCCGCCCTTGGTCACTGCGGACACTCAGGAAGCCCGTACCCATGTAAGGCTTGGTGCCCGCCATGGTGGTGATGCGCGTCTCCCGGGGCAACATGGCTGCGATGTTGAAGTCTGTGATGTGCACGTGCCCTGGAGAGAGAAGGACCACAGAGAATGTTAAGTCCTATCCAAGCTAGAGACAGGCCATGCTTCTGAAGCTTAGTCTGTACATTCTTTTATGTGCAGCAAGAAAAATTCAGTTATTGTCTCCTTGAGACCGTGTGGTCTTAAACCAGTAGCCAGAGTATGAGATGTAGTCCCCAGGGAAAGGGGAGGTTCCAGGTTTCCTGCCTCACCCAGGGTGTGAGCTGAGCAGCCAGGAGAAGCTAGAAAGGATGGAAAGGAAGACATGGGGGAAAAAAAAGGATGAAGAAAGAAGACTAGGACAAGGATGGAGTAGAGACATGTGAGAAGAAGCCATGCTTGCTTCTTGGCCTTGGACTTGTACCAGAGGCTTGGGGGACATGGAAGGAGACCCATGGGGAGGCTGACAGTGGCACCTTTATCATGATTTTGATTTTGTTCTTCTCCTTCCAGACTTGCCTTGCCCCTTCTGCCCCTTTCCTATGTGTCCCCACCACATGGTGCCTTAGACTTATGGCACATTTTCGGGCCTCAGTGTCTCTGCTTTGGTTCAACCCTATTTTGCTGGGCATTGTCCCATGAGGGATGGGGAACTTTGTGTGTTTCACGGGAAAACTGTTTTGGCTATATTCTTTCTCTTTAATACCTTTCTATTGAAGGTCTTACACATTAAAAGCATGTTTTGTCTTGATGCAGTGGATGGCTGAATCCATTTAGAGCAGCAAGTTTGGGGGTCCTGTTTTGTCCCTCAGTATGCCTGCTAACAGATTCACCTCAGGAAGTTTTAACCTTGGTGGTTCAGGGCTCCCTAGTTGTACTTGGGCAATTTCTGTGTATTGGCAGCCTTTTAAGTTAGTACAACCTGTGAGAAACAGAAGGCAGATAACCAAGAGCTATTCAAGGTATCAAATTCTCAAACACCTCTTCTGGGATCTTTTTAATTTTTATGAGATAAACATTTTACAGAAAGCTGACATGAATGTGGGTACTAGAATTATTTCTTTGCCCAAGAGTCCCTTATCTCCTTGTTGTTGTTTGTTTGTTTTTCCTGAGATGTTAGTATTTTCTTGTCTGATAGTTCAGGTAGTTCCTCTCTGATTCCCTACAAAATAAAATCTCAAGGGAAAGCAAGGGGAGATGCAATCATATGGTACTTGTCTTCCTCCATCTGATTTGTTCCATCAAGCATAATATTCTCTAGATCCATCCATGTTGTTGTAAATGGCAGGATTTAATAGTTTTCTATTTTTTAGTTGAGTAGTATTCCACTGTGTCGATAGATCACACCTTCTTTATCCACTCATCTGTCTACAGGCACTTAACTTGTTACCAGCTCTTGGCTATTGTAAATAGCACTGAAATAAACACGGGGGTGAAGTTATCTCTTCAAGGAGAGGTTAATACCCAGAAGCGAGGTAACCAAATAGTATAAAATTTCTAGTTTGAATTTTTTGAGGAAGTTTTATTTCTGAAGAAGCTGTATAAAATGCACTAAATGGGGGGACCCAAGAGACCAGCCTTCTGCCCTGAACTCTGCTCCTAACACATTGCAGTCTGGAAGTCTTTCCTCTGTTGAACCAACATATATTTTAAAAATGGTGTGGTGAACTAGATGTTCCAGACTACCACTCAGCTCTAATGCTCAGTCATGGAGTGCAGCTCTAACACTGACTTTGGCAGAAAGTGCACCTCACAAAGTGCACTAGGGTCCTTGCAGCTCAAAGTGCAACAGGGTGGTCCCCAGGAAAGGGGGAGGTTCCCTGCCCCACCCAAGAGAGAGTGGAGCTGAGCAGGAAGAGGAGAAGCTGCAGAAGAGACTGAGGAAGGAAGGAAGCAGGATGGAGCCAGGAGACCTGGAGGAGACGCATGGAGCCTAGAAACACGTAAAGAAACTGCGCTTGTCTTTTGGTCGTGGACTGGGTGACACAGATGTGGGTGAGACCTGTGGGGAGGTGACAATGGCAGCTTTTATCTTGATGTTGATTTTGCTCTTTTCCTTCCGGGCTTGTCCAGTTGTTTGTGACCCTTTTCTGTGGGTCCCCACTGGAAGATGTTTTAGACTTGTGGTAGACTTTGGGGCCTTGTTCTGGGCCGATCCCATATGGATGGACTTTTACCCACGAGGGGATGGGTAACTTTGGGTGCTTCATTTAGAAACTAGACTCTTTGCCTTACCTGTATTGTTTCCTAGTTTAATTAAAGTTCCTTCCCATTAAAGTCTCCTATGTTTTGTGTTGATGCGGCGGATGGCAGAACCCATGTAGAATAGGCAGGTTTGCAGGGTTTGGGCTGACCCTCTCCCTGTCCTATAACAAAAGGAGGGGAGGGGCAGCCCCAGCCGCTCAGGCATATAAGCCCGTTGTTATGTTAGCTGTTGGCAGGGAAGTCATGTGCTTTCCGAGGCGCTTGAAGTGTTGGCGTTTCCATTTGCGTGCTTCTGGGGTTCTGATGCGATCTGGCTGTAATTGGAGGGGATGTCATCTGATTCTCCCATGTCCCACAGTCCACACTCCCTGCCCCACTTCACTATCACTCTAGAGCACGCAGCCTGCTGCTAAAGAGGAATGTCACTGCCTTGATTTCTGCGCTTTTATGTTGTGCAAATGATGTTTGGCTTTATATGATGACATTTTAATAAAGTAACACCCATCTAATTAAAATGAAGGTATTTTTGTGGAGGGCATTACTTGCAGATGCTTTAAATACTGCATTCTGTCATGGTGATAATGGAATTGCTGGTGTCAATTCCCCTTCACCAATAAGAACAGAATTTTGAGGAGAATGAAAGTATTTTCATTTATTTATCAACAAATGAGGAGAGTATCAACAAATGGCTAGAGTCTGGAAGAGTTCTGTCCTGTTGACAAGCAGAGGTTGGGGATATTTAGCTGGATTTACAAGGGCCTAAGGGCCTGAAAGGGGGTTGTGGGTGAGGGTCACCACACCCATTCCAAAACATAGTAGCCTGGGGACGTAGTTGGCACCATCTGGTGGTTAGCAATTCTGATGCTGTCTTTGGAAGGTTCTGTCCCTGGCTTAGTTTTGAAGTTTCTTTGCAGAAGGCCCTTTGTCCTCAGAATGCAAGGCAATAGCAAAATGTTCAACATATAAATAGAGGTTTGCTACATACAATTAGAGGAAGCAGGGAGTGTCTTTCTCCAAGGCAGGAGAGATACTGCTGTATCAACAATGCAGATTGTCTCAGATTTTTCTTTTTCTCTTTTGTCCTCAGGGTCCTTTTCAAAACATCAGATCAGTATTCAAAGGCTTAGTGCAAACAAGGTGAGCCTGGAGATTTATGGTGGTTAAAGTTTGTTTTCTGCCATCAGACTGCTTGACTGGATTCTAGCACTAACTAGTTGTGTTACCTGAAAAAAGGGATTTAGTCTCCCGGCAACATTGGGGTGATTATAGTAGTCTTGTTGTTACAGGGCAGGGAGAGGGGCAGCCCAGACCCCACAAACCTGCCTATTTTAAATGGGTTCTGCCATCTGCCACATCAACACAAAACATATGAGACTTTAATGGGAAGGAACTTTAATAAAACTAGGAAACAATACAGGAAAGGCAAACAATCTAGTTTCTAAATCAAGCACCCAAAGTTACCCGTCCCCTCGTGGGTAAAAGTCCATCCACATGGGATCGGCCCAGAGCAAGGCCCCAAAGCCTGCCACAAGTCTAAAGCATCTTCCAGTGGGGACCCACAGAAAAGGGTCAGAAACAACCAGACAAGCCCGGAAGGAAAAGAGCAAAATCAAAATCAAGATAAAAGCTGCCATTGTCACCTCCCCTCGGGTCTCTCACCCACATCTGTATCACCCAGTCCACAACCAAAAGACAAGCGCAGTTTCTTCACGTGTCTCTAGGCTCCATGCGCCTCCTCCAGGTCTCCTTCTGGCTCCATCCCACTTCCTTCCTTCCTCAGTCTCCTCTGAAGCTTCTTTTGTCCCTGCTCAGCTCCACCCTCCATTTGGGTGGGGCAGGGAACCTGGAACCTCCCCCTTTCCTGGGGACCACCTTGTTACACTCTCATGAGGTTGTTGAGAGGAGCAAGTGAAATAATAACTGTGGAAGACTTAGTGCAGCATTGGGCAGGAAGCACGTGTTCAACAGTTGCTCAGTTTGTCACTATCAAAAACTCCAGTGTGACTTGCAAAATACACACCTCGATTTCCATGTCCTCAGACTCGGAGCAGCAGGGCTGGGAGGAGCCATGGGAAAAACACTAGATGTTCCACAGCTGATTCAAATGAGGAGCAGGCAGTGCCTCCACTTTAAGTGGCGTCCATGTTCCTGGGGGACTCAGCCCTCAGCAACTCTGTGCTGGTGTAGAAGGTAGAGGATGGTGGGGAGTTAAACTGTGCTCCCCAGGCCAGCACCCTCAGCCTTGCCTGGAGACAGTGTTGATTGCCAGGATTCCAGCCAGGGGTCAGGAGCACATGAGCATCTGGGGGGCAGTGTCCAGGAATGCTACTAGTTCCCTCTAAGGCACAGGACAGGCCTCCACGCCAGAGGACTATAGGACTTGTTAGAAATACAATTTCTTGGTCCCTGCCCCCAGCCTATTGTATCAGAAACTGAGGGTGGAGCCCCAGTGTTTAAACAAGCCCCTTCCCTCCCTCCCAGGTGATTCTGGTACCCAATACAATTTGAGATCACTGCTGTAAATGAAAACCTGGTTCAGCAGCAGATCCCGGCCTTGGTAAGTACTTTTTAAATAACTTTTGAATGTGGGTGAACGTTGAATTTTGCAGTTTTCAAAAAGTAAAGCATACTTTCACCCAGGGAAGTAGTCCCTGTTTTACAAGAGCTGTGGGGCTACAAGTGGCAGAGCGAGGATGTGAGCCAGAATCTGGTCCACGATCTCTCTGGCGGGTTTTGAATTGCCCCAAAACTTCATGTGCCACAGACTAAGGAGATGACTAAACTGAAGCAACTGCTTTGGTTGCCTCAGGACACAGCGGCCTAGGCTGGAAGGACCAGCATCTGCAGGAACCCGGGCTGAGAAAATGAGAGCTCCACAGAGCCAGGGATGCCCGCCCCAGCCTCAGCTGTCCTACTCCCATTTGCTCACCTGGGGGCCTTTTTCCAGGCTCCCTCCTGTGCTGTAAAATATATCTGGGGGCTGGCTCAGAGGGGGAGATCCTTCCTCTTTCAGATTGAGGGACACAGGAATTGCCTTGTAGCGGCAGGAGGGGCACAGAGCAGGATCTCTATGACTGTAGCAGACCGGGTAAAGGAGGCGAGTCCTAGGAGCCCTCAATGGCTTTTGCAGGCTTTTATTGGGATTTACCAGGTGCATGGCAGGCAGGGATACTGGGGGGCCTGGAGGATGGTAGGCCTCCCAGCCCCCAGCAAGTCTTCTCTCTCTCTCTCTTTGGGCTTTCCGACATTCTCTTGTGGCCTTTGATTCTCTGCTCTTTTCACTCTCTTTCGCTGTTCTGTTGGTCTGCTCTGCTGGTGGCTCTGCTAGCGTCCCTGTGACGCTGCCCTTAAAAGCCCAGTCTCAGCCCAGGTGTACCCACCTATGCATGTCCACACTGTACTCCAGGTGTCTGCCATCAGGCATGTATTCAGGACCGCAGGGATCCATCATTAGTCCTAATGGAGGGAGGGCAGAAAAGCCTGATACTTTTTTTTACCTTACCCTACACTTGTGAATGAGGAACAGCCGGCTTTTCCCCTACGCCTAGGCCCTTACGGAGCCTGAGACGGCGTTTCTCACCCACGGCAGTATTGACATCTTGACCTATAGTCCTCTGGCATGGAGGCCTGTCCTGTGCCTTAGAGGGAACTAGTAGCATTCCTGGACACTGCCCCCCAGATGCTCATGTGCTCCCTACCCCTGGCTGGAATCCTGGCAATCAACACTCTTCAGACATTGAGTGGCATCCCCTGTGAGATGAAGAAGATCAAGAATGTCCCCAATTAGAGCCACTGTCCTAGTGTGAAGTGTTTCAGGTACAAGACTCAGAACTTCCTGATTTAGACCCTAGGAGTTTTTTTCCTCTTTTCCTCCTTTGCACCTTAAGAGACAGGGTCACCTTCAAAGCCCACATTCACAGTATTGGGTCATTGAGTCCAGCCGCCACTGTTGCCACTCCTTCTGCTCTTCCTGATGCTGTGCCTGTGTTCAGCCTGGGGCTCTTCCCAGCACAGCCCTCCAGGGCCCCGAAATCAATCAGTGGACACTGTGCCCGGCTTTCAAAATGTACCCCTACCTATAAATGTTTAGTGTGGATTTACCATGTTTCTCTGGGATTCTGTTAAAAATGCCTATTTTGAGATGCTGGCTGGATCTTAATCTGATTATCTGGGGATGGGGTACATTATTTTACATTTCTATAGATTAAAAAGCAGCCGGCCACTGCTGTCAGGAGTGTGGGGGGACTCTGAGGAGAAGCCGTGAAGGTAGCTGACTTAGCTGTTCACACCCCCATTGAGTTTTTGCCTTTCTCTGTGCCATGTGACAAGGGGTGATATTAAGAAAACTAAATTAGAGATGGTGCCATAATTGTCATTTCTCCGATATCCCAGGCAGACAGGATTGTTCCTTGGCATGCTGCATTTATTTCCTAAATAATTTAAGGGAACCACATGAATTTTAGATGCTATGGGATTGATAGAATTGCATGCAGCCTTTGGATTGGGAGGATGTGAAAATATATGTTAGGCAGTGGGTGATGAGCCTGTCAAGATCCAGTACTGTCTTGGGCTTGGAACTGGCAAACAAGACATTTGGAGAAACCAGTAACAGGCGTGCTCTAAATTGAAAACATCTTTTAAGTCAGATTATGTAGAGGGAATAGACCTTCACAGTATGGATTCTCCATTTTATAAAAGGATTTGGCACCTTTAAATATCAGTCTTTTCTAATGCAAGAAACCAGTTTGAATCAAAAAGAACCAATAAGAAGAGAACCAAGCTTCTGCCTATTATTGAATGGTGCAGACTGGAGATGTTAGCTGTGTGAGCCACGCACAACTCACTTGGGGAGCCTGCCTAGGTTGTCACAGGGGGTGTCACCCTCCCCAGTTGCTGAAGTCCCTATGCTAGGGGTGGACATGTTGGCCCACAGGCAGTAAGCTATCATAAAGGAAAAAGCAGACAAATGAATGTTCCAAATATGAAGCATGAAAAGTCTCCCAGGAGACACTCCACAGGCAAGCATTCATTTGTGGTTGAGCTGAGTCTCACAAGAGCAGCGCTGTAAGATGAATTCAGGGGTGAAGGGTTTTCAGGAATTTGTACATTTAAAACTGGTTAATGATGGTACTTGGGCAATGCCTGGAAGTCTTAGTTTTTCAGAATCTGCATAAACAGAAAGGAAATAACCTCAAACTTTACTTTCTCCGGGACCATATTTAGAGAATGATTGTCCATCCATCTCTTTTGTCCGTGTGCTCCTGTCCCCTTCACATATGCTATCTTCCCCAAACAACTTTCTCTTATAAACTGTAGCCATTCTCAAGGAGGGTTCAGAATGGGAATGGGAACATGGTACAGAAAAGCCTGCGCTTAATTTGATTTTTGTCCAAATCTAAAAATTTGAGTGTGAAAGGTGTACTTGTATATAATACAACCATTAGCAGATGTGGACTCGATCTGGCCCCTCCAGCTGACCGCTCGTGGCCCCACCAAGAAGAAAATGTCCTGAAAAATGGGCATAGCCCCTTGTGCATATGCGGGTAAAACCAGAATGGGCCTAAAGGTGTAGTTACCCGAGATTTCAGGACTAAACAGAATTGCTTAACCATAAGTCATGGAACAAGTAGACACACAGAATCTTTGGTAAATCCCAAATAGAATGAAAATATTTCTTTACTAAGTACCCGGACACTATCTGATGTAGACAAAGCCAGATAAAACAACACAAACTCATCTGGGCTACTTTCTGTGGGAAGAAAACCAATCAGAACTATACCAGTAGTTAACTTTTACTGAGTACATTCATGGCAAACATTTGCAATCAAGCACTTTCAAATATTGCCCATTAGTTTTTACAGTGACCTAAGAAGTAGGCAGTCATTCGATCCCTGACGAAATGAAGGTGCAGAGAAAGTCTAGATAATTTGCTGGAAACTCTCAGAGCTGGTGAGAGGTGAGCTGGGTTTTGAACTCAGGTAATCTGGCTCCAGAATCCAAGCTCTTAATTACATTACACGACTAACCGTTCATAAGGATGGTCCCTAGGGGTGGTTAAACTTGAAGATTAACTTATTTCTTGACCTTTCTCCTAATTTACAACCATTAAGTTGCTGAGAAAATCAGGAGAAAATAGTTCAATAAAATCAGCTGAAACCATAGTTGAGACCTAAGATTAAAACACCCATCTCAAATGACAGTAAATCTTGGAAAGGTTTGGATCTGACAGGACCTGTATGTCTCCACACAGCACCTCAACAAGTGGCAGAACAACAGGTATTGTGCATTAAGGCAATTGACTGAGGAAGCAGGTGGGGACAGAACCCCAACCTGGCCCCTGCTTGACCTGCCAGCACCTTTATAGGGTGGTAGTAGCAGAGAGAGCACCTTTCCCTAAGTTGCACAAAGGTGGCCTCTAGAGAGGGGGGGGAATCCTCCAGAATTGGGACACTCTGTGGAGAGGATCTGTGCCCAGGAGCTTCCTGTTTAAGGCCAGTATAGTTTGTGTTTCCATGAAAGTCACCTTCATGCTTAGTCTCCCCATTGCTCACATTACTGAGATTCAGAGAATCTGTTCCCAAATGTCAGAAGAAGTAAAGTCAAGGGAGGAATAAGGCACTGGAACAAAGTGGGAAAAATCATTTTAGACAGTCTATAAATAAGTAACGATCCTACCCTTTGAAATTGGAGGTCATACACAAAAGTGTTTCTTAGCCCTCTGGCACAGGTGGGATCTGGCAAATCAGGTTTAAAATTAAACTAGGTAAATAAATAATGAGCAATAGATGGTACTTGGACTTTCAGTTTCACTTGCAAATCCCTTTTGTAAAAACTGAATGAAGAAAGAGCTTTGCAGATTTGGGAATCCTTCATCCAGCAACTTCTTAAAAGCAGAACAAGTATCTTATAGCCACTTGTAACATTTATAATTTGCAGGCTGCGTGTCTGACAGGTCTTCTCTGATGTACCAATAATCTAATTGTACATTAAAATAAATATTAGGAAGAGATTACATAATTTAATCACCATTACAAAGGCTTGTTTTACAAGATATCTTTAATTAGTATTACTTGGACTTGAGGCATTCATTTATCACCTCCATGATTTCAAAGGCCTTATAACACTTTCCTGTCTGGGTACAACATGTACTGTTATCAACTTTATACTTTTCTTTAAACTGATTTTTTGAACTGAAAAAAAATCTTTGAACAGAAAACTTGCCATTTCTTCTGCAAGTGTAAAACCAATTTGCACACCTAAGAAGGAAAGCATTGAAGCAGGCAGTGAGAACAAAATAATATTATTAATGTCTAGGTAGATAGTATTGCCTGCCAAATGCTTGGGGCTAGAGACCAGTACTGTCTTTATGAAAGGAGGGAGACAATTAAGTGCTATAAAGATATCAGGGCAATGAGCACCAAATAAACCCTGAAGGTTTTCCTGAAATCAGTAAAAGTGGAAGAAATACGAAAGAGTGACTCTTGTTATGTATGTTCCATGTTAATTAAGGTATACAGGTGTACTATGCTATTGTTGTAAATAATAAAGTTCCCCTAACATGGAGTGGGTCCATGAACTCATTGGGGTTCAGCGAGACCACCTCTCTGTCCTGCTGTGTCCCAGGGATAGTGGGCTTGTATGCATGTCAGTGAGTTGACGGCAAATAATCATTTCCTTACCATGTTCATCAAGCAGAATGTTGTCAGGCTTCATATCCCTAGGGGAGGAAAAAGAAAACAGAAAGTTGCTTATAATAAAATAAGCAAACAAAGAGAGCTTAAGGGTAAAGACAAAAATGTTGGAGAATTCTAACTAGGGTTAAATAATATAATAGCCCCTTATCATTCACCATCTCAATTCTTGGTGAATCAGACAGTTACATGAACACCCCCAATTTCTAGATTAGAAAACTGGGGCTTAAAAAAGGTTAAAATAAGTTAACGCAGGGTTGTGAGCTAGTAAAATGGCTCTGAACCCAAGTCTCTCTCACTCACAAGCTCAGACTCTTAATGTCAGTAGTATATGATATCAAAGCACGTAAGATTTGTTCCCTGGGGTCACGTGGGGGGAATTTAAATTGTCATAAGGTGGCAGTGTTAATTATCATTTTTGGAGTTACACAGAGGAAGTAATTTAAAGACGATAAAGTAGGGTGGCCTAGGGGTTAAATCTCAGCACTATCACCTCTGCAGCCTGAGTCCGATCCCCAGCCAGGGAGCTGACCCACAAGGCGTGGCAGACCTCTCCTGTCCTGCCCGCTGCTACCCTCAGCAGTGTATTTCAGTCAGTCTGCCTGTTCTGTTCCCCACTCTGTCTCTGGTGGATCCTCTCACCTCTGACTTATACCCCAGTTCTTCTATGCAAAAAATAAAGACTATAAAATAAGAAAAATATGCTCTACAATGGGGTTATATCTTAAACTTGCAGAGATATTAATCTTTTGGGGGGCCGATGCTATAGTGTCTTTGGCTAATTACTCAGTGTTATTCCTTGGCTGTTCATGAAAGGATTTAGACCAGTCTTCCCTGCATAAGTGGACCCTCAAATCCATAGGCCGGGAACAAAACCCACCCTTTTGCAATGAAGGGAGCAGTTTGATGGTAAATACTTAGGGGGATGGCAAATAGAGTTTCAGTCTCCACGAAACGGATATTATTGTAGCCATGCACCTTAATCAGAAAAGAGCGCCGCTGCTGCTAGCGGGCCCTGCTTCGCCACTGGCGGGTTTTCGCCACCCTTCCCTAATGTGCCATTAAAGCTCTTCAACCTGAATTCACAGAAGCCATTAGGGAAGAAATTCTGAAATAGGTTTTGTAGAGGCATGTTTTTATTTATTTATTTATTTATTTTATTTGTTTGTTTGTTTTGTTTATACATGCACTGGGTACAGTCAGAAGCGCGGGAGGGTGAGAGAATTCACCAGAGCCAGAGTGGGGAGCAGAGCAGGCAGAAGGACTGAAGTACACTGCTGAGGGGAGCAGCGGGCGGCAGGAGAGGTCTGCGCGCCATGTGGGATCCTCCTCCGGTGGCCGGGGAGCAGCCGGGAATCGAACCGGCGCTGCAGAGGCCGCGAACCCAGCGCTCAACCGCTGCGCCACTGGGGAGGCCCTGAAATAGGTTTTGGGAACACATTTTCAGCCTAGTCAAGTGGCTTTCAAGTTGCTAGAATAAGGTGACCTTGGTCTTTGACAAGGTCCTCTTCCTTTGGAAGCATAAATGAGTAGCCCCTTCCCTACAAACAGCATGTAAATGCCACACCCAGCATGCAGGGGCATGAAGAGTCTTGTGGACTTTGAGCCTCTCGTTTCATTTATTAGGTTGTCAACATCAATTCTGGGTTCATAGATCAGCTGATTCTGTGACACATTTTTCTCTGTTGCAGGGTACAATTTGCTAAAGCGATAGACTGTAAGAGGGTTTCAAATTGCATGTTTTTGTGGCTAAACTCTTGTTGCAGTTCCCCCCGCCTCTCATACACACACCCTGTGCCAACCCTTGGAAAGACCCCATTATTTTAAGAATGACCAAGTCCAAACTTACTCATAAGGAATAAAGGTCCTTTTATAATCTGGCCACTGGACTCCAGCCACAGAGAAGGGACATGGGGTTCCCCTGCATCCCTTCACCTTCTGTTCCTTTGCTTGGATCAGAGGACATCCACATAGCCACTCTCACCCCATAGCTAAGGTGCCATCTCCTACAGGGAGCTCTCCTTGGTTTTCCAATTCTGAGTCAGTGGACCTTCCTAGATGCTCGGCATGGTGTACTTGTTTCATCATAACAGTTACCATAGGTATATATTTTTTCTCCAACCAGGTCATGAATGCCATGATGTCAAGGGTGGTTCCTAGGCCAATATCATATTTCACTGTATAGTTCACAGGCCTGTTGGGCAGCTCATGAGTGACTAAATGACACCTGGAGACTTTCTAGTATACTCAAGACAGTCAGTCCAGTCTCTGAGGGGTAGCCTCCAGCACTGTAGTTTAAAGCTCAAGGTGAGCCAGGCATTGGGCTCTTCCCAGCTCTTTCAGATCTGCATCCAGGAACCTCAGGTGGTGCTATCAGGAAAGAAGGGGGCCCCAAGGCTCCCCGCCAGGAAGGAAGAGATGGTGTGGTGAGGCCAAAGCAATATTTCTTGGCCAGATGTATAAACGCTTCCTGGGAGAAATGAATTACTGTGCATACGAACTTTGAGTTTTCTACTCAATCCCTAGGCACCGTTTTTCTTATTTATTAAAACCACACATCATTACATTCACCACATTTCCTAGAACCTACCTTGAAGTTTAATGAATTATATAGAATTCAGAGAGGTGATAGTTTAAGGTGATACTTCTTATTTCAATCTTACCCACAGAATATCTATTTTTTCTTAAAGATTTCTTTTTTTATTTATACAAGCACTGGGTACAGTCAGAAGCGCAGGAGGGTGAGAGAATTCACCAGAGTCAGAGGGGGGAGCAGAGCAGGCAGAAGGACCGAAGTACACTGCTGAGGGGAGCAGCGGGTGGCAGGAGAGGTCTGCGCGCCATGTGGGACCCTCCTCAGGTGGCCGGGGAGCAGCCGGGGATTGAACCGGCGCTGCAGAGGCTGCGGGCAGCTTCACAACCCAGCGCTCAACCGTTGTGCCACTGGGGAGGCCCCAGAATATCTATTTTGATAAGTCACTGTGCTGGGATAAAGGAAATAGAGAGAGACATGATATGCACTTTCCTCAGGGGTGGGGAAGGGAGAAAAGTTCGTGCCAAAAAGGGTTGCAAGTGTCAGAGGAGCTTGTTTTGCTATTTCGTTATTGTTACATTCAAAGAATACAAGGAACATCTAAGAAAAAAAAAAAAAGTGGATGCTTTCTCCAAAATATGATGAGGTAGCTTGTAAGTCACTGCAGGGTAAACTGCAATATGATAAGGTTGTTTATTCCTGTACCAGGAGGAAGAAAACAAAAATCAAGCCAGTGTACTATGTGAGAATTCCTGCTGGAATGTGCTGAGATTTTCTAATTCTGAAATTTCACACTGCTTCCCTCCTTTTGATCATCTTAAAAAATCCTAAATATGAAATAACTTATTCTAAATGTTTCTTTAATTTAAAGTGACCTATAATATGGTTTACCTAGGTGGTCATCAAATCCAGATATGTTCAGAATCCCTGAGAAGCTTTGAGCCTCATGGATTTTCTGACTTAGCTCAGTCCTCAGGCATCAGATTGCCTGTGGATAGGCGTACACATCTTCTGAACCCAGAATCCTCTAGGACACTCTGATGTACAATCATATTCATAAATACCACCCAAGCATTGCCCAAATCCAAAAATGTCAACCTGACTTTTAAGGGTGACCCTCTTACAGGCTTCTCTGTGAAAGTAAGGGTGTTGGAAAGCCTTTACCACTACTCTCAACAAATCCTTTGGTTAAAGTATGTGTGGAGGACTCTTACAACCCACATGTCACTAGCAGGTAGCTAGTGGGTACCTTCTCACTTGTTATGTATCCTTGGGGGTTTCAGTGTCTATGTGGATGCTCCATTGGGGGCTTTGGCCTCTCACTTCCCTGCCTTACCCCCTGTAATATTTTTCTCTTTCCCCACCCCGATCGTTTCCAAATTTTCTTATTAATTCCCTTGTCATTCCTATAGCCAAGTTCCTGACCAGCATGACCTTCTGTTCAACACAATCCCCATTGTCTTCTCTAACACACTGAGAACTCCAGCAGTCTCAGTGCTGGCAGTTATTGTTTACACAACATAACTCTCACACCATCAACTCCTTTTATATCCATTATTAATATTTCTTATAAAAATCCTTAATTCTGGGCCTCCCTGATGGCACAAGGGGTTAAGCACAGCACTGCACTATGAAGCAGTCTGCAGCCTCTGCAGCACGAGTTCGATCCCCGGATGGCCAGAGAGCAATGCACATGGCGAGGTGGGCCTCTCCTGTCTCACCTGCTGCTCCCTTCAGCAATGTATATCAATCACCCTGCCTGTTCTGCTCCCTACTCTGTCTCTGGTGAATCCTCTTGCCCCCCACATCTCTGGCCTGTACCCCAGCTCTTGTATGCATGGATAAATTAAAAAAAAAATCCTTAATTCTCTTGCTCCTTCAGTTGTACTCACCACATGAAACCCAGCATTGGCTAAAGCCAAATTCTCCTTGATTGCAGCCAAGCATCTGTGCTTCGCTATAAGACAAGACACAGTAATATTGACTGTTCCCCTTTACATCCATGGCTTCCTAGTTCAATTGAGCATCTCTGTGCTGGGCAATTATGGGAAACTCATCTTCTCCCCGATGAGCAGTTTACACTTTTGTACTGCTCCTCACACCTCCACACTCTCCTTCCTGCTTTCAGTTGGGGACTGTACCCTCTTATATAATGAAGAGAACAATCATTTGGGAACACTTGACCACCGAGTCCACCACCCCCGAGTTCTGCGGGCCCACTCATTGCCTCCCTCCAGGGTCTGTGCTCAGATTGCTCTTCTGTGGGGGCCTCTGGATCCATCTCTCACTGCTCATGAGTCTCCTTCCACGGATCAGCATGTCTGCCTTCTATGCCATCCCCTTCTGCTTTCCTGATTATGATCAAGTCTCCTGGAAACAAGGACTTCCTTGACTCATAGCCACCTCCACTTGCTCTCTCATTTCATGGTTTTCCTTCATAACCTCTGCGGACTGACCTGTAATGGGCGAGGAATTACAAACAACAAGTGCCAT